CTTCCTAAACAACAATTTATTGTAAATAGAAAGATAATTTAAACTTTTACAATAATAATTCAAATTCGAAAATCTCCTAATCTGTTAAGAACCTTGGGATACACCACCCCAAAAGCTAGCTCAAAGGGTGGGAGTGTTGATGCTCACCGGCAAGTATACTGATCGCACAAGTAATATAGATAGTAAGTAAAGTATCGTCTCCACAGGGATTGGGTCGAATATCAATTAATTGTTCCTTTTAAGAATGGAAGAGTTCAAAGGTTGTGACAAATATTGTCGAATTTTGTGAAATTGAGAATTGAAAATAAAGACTTGTTTTTGTAATTTTTCTGTAATGAAGGATAAAAATAAGAACAAGAAAATGAGTTTTGATTTATAAAAATGAGAAAAGCATTGTAGCTAGAGCGCACTCACCTTATGATCCTCACTTATTACTTTGGATTGATTTACAATATTCATTTATAAAATTACTCGGATAAATTATTATCTAAAATAATTAGTTAAATCCCAATCCCTTGGCAATTTAACCCTTTAATCTCAATTGGAATCCTAATCCATTAGCAACCCCTCATGAAAATTAAGCGATGAACTCAATAATTTAGGCATCCGCAATTCAATACACATATATTTCTAGCATGCATACGAACAGTTATCCTACCCCCTTTCAGGATGAAAACCCCAATATTCCTATCTAGGGTTCTAACCCTCAGACTATTATCAACTATTAGAGTGATCAATTCTAATAAAGAAAATGTAAAATACGAACAGGGTAGAGATAAAGATAATTATATAAACGAGCAATTATAAATCAATCCGCGTAACAAGGGTTCACATAGGGTTTGTGACCCTAACTACAATAAAGAGTAACTAGCCAAGCATAATCATGGCTAAAAATTCAATATTCAATGAAATCATAAAATTAAAAAGAAGGAGAAGGAAAGAAACTTGATCTTCAGATTCCTCTCGAAGCACCACTGTCGTCTCTCTCAGAATAGGTCTGGATCCCTAATTCTGTCATAAGGATCCTATTTATAAGCCTCTTTTCTTTCTTCCAAAAATACCCTTCACGCAACACGGTATTATTTTCCCGCAAACCGGCGCCAACTGGCATTGGTTTGGCGCCACTTCGCGCCACGCTTCTGTCCAAAATTGCAAAGTCGGAACAGCTTTTACGTAAAGTGGCGCCAGTTGGCGCCACTTACCTTCAACATTGGCGCCACTTTTGTCTCTTTTTGGCGCTAGTTGGCGTGGCAATATTGTTTCACCTTTATTCATTTTGGCACCACTTGGCTCCATTTTGGCGCCAAGTGGCGCCATTTCCCTGGAATTTGGCCTATGCAACATGGAACTTTGTTTCCTTTCTTTTAATTTGGCGCCGGTTGGCGCCATGCTTCTGGAACTTGTATTTCTCTGCATCCGTGTGGAATTGCGTTAACAGGCTTTTTATAATTTTCACTTCTTTTTCCTGTAAAAACACAACAAATAGGTGAGAAATATTATTGAAAAGAAAGAATCAATATCATTAGCAAATATGTATTTAAGTTGCTCTTTTATGACTAAATTCTTATCAATTTTAACACAGAAAACTACACTTGCCAGAGGCATATCAAACCATTCCCAGATTTAAACGTTGTTGTCCCCAGCAATGTACAAGACTTAATCCAGGAAACAATCAATTATTCCAACATAACATCACACAAACAATCAATAGATCACTATGCTAAGCATAACTGAATCAATGCAAAGAACTCCTAACAATGCCTTCTATTCTCATAAAAATGTCAGAATCTAGCTTGAACACCCCTCACCAAGACAAAACATATAATGCTCAGCACTCAAGTGTTTGGGGGAGTAACAATCACTCAATCCATCACAGCAATAACACTACCATAAGCTTGATCATATTCTCAAGTTCCTAAAGATGAGGAACATTAACACATGCACAATTGATCAAAAGGACTTCACAGGTTGTAACTTGGCTGGGTTAAAGGTTTGGAATATATGGATAGTAGCTCAAACAACAATGAGATTGAAAAACTGATATTATTTCATTTTTAACAAATTCAACTCAATTGTTTTGCTCCACTTACATTCCCACAGAATTTCAGAAACTAATTCCTTTCAGCCACTTTTTCTTTACATTCACTCTTTTTCTTTTTCTTGCTTTTTTCTCCTTTGTTTTAAGGGCACAAATGAACTTTTACTTCCCCTAATTATTTGACCTCTGTGGAGCTTACCTCAAATTTTTTTTTGTTTTAACTTTCAACACATCAGTAATTCAATCTCAATCAAGGTAAGTCACTTGGATATAGGCTAAGCCATCAATCAGGCCACAGGTCAATTATCAACAAAAAAGTTCAGGCTCAAGGGGGCTAGCAATGGAAAAATTCATACAGGTGGGTTGTCTGGCCATGGCTAACAGAATAAAATTGCCTTAATCATTTCAATCAATGCATGCATCTCAGAGAAACAGAGCAAGTTCTAGAATGCTATCACAATGAGGTCTCTCAGAATAAAATAAGTGTTTAAGCACAAACCTTCACCAGCTATGATGTCAAGCTAGACTTTCAAAAGAAACATCAGGCATCATTAATCATTCAATCACAAAATTCAGACAAACGAGCAATCATGAACTCTGCTCATGCACATACAATATTATGCCAGAAGTTCATACAAAACATGTTTTCTATGATGAATCAGTCAAGTTAACTAGGGAAAGCATATCTAAACCTGGGACGTGCTCAGAAAACATTTTCCAAATTTTTGTTTTTTTAAAGATAAAAATAAAGAACACACAAAATACTACAAAAATAACTAAGAAAATTAAAAGAAGAGTTAGAATATCTCCCCTGATAGAAGAATTGCAGCAGTTCTCTGATTTCCTTGATTAGTGTGATGAAATTTCTCGAATATGTCATCATTCCATTATTCTTGAGATTCTTTTTGTTTAAATTTTTGAGTCAGATACCTTTTCCTAATTAAAAAAAATTCTTACCCTTTCAAGGTATATTGGGCTTGCATTCAATAGGTATGGACGTATTTTACGCTGAGTCAGTATTAAGTATGTTTCGAACTAATTCAACCCAAAAGTTTAAACTGTTATTGGGTGAGGCTATATTAAAGATTTTGTACTTCTATAAGACGCCTTCTCACATGAGAGCTCATTGAGTTTGAAGGGTGGATAATGCACAAGACCACCTACCTGTGCTAAGAAACTACATAAGACATAATTAATTATTAATTAAATAGGTGGCAGTGAGGTTCATACCGTGACACTCAGGCTCTAATACCATGTAAAGAACAAATTCAACCCAAAAGTCTAAACTATTAGGTGAAACTACATCAATGATTTTATACTTGTCAAACACTTTGCATTTAATTAATGACTCATGTATGATAAAACCAATAGGTATCCAGCTCATGGAAGCCTAGTATTATTGTGAGCGTCATATTTCTTTGTAACTTCTTTTATTTAGTAGTTTGAGCCCTTGATTAAGGGTTGAGGCTTGGAATTTTTTAAATTTATTTATATTCTCTTATAAGTGAGTGCATTATAACCAGTGATGTGAACAGAATAATGATAGACTTTTGGACGTAGCCCTAAATTGAGCTGACTCAAGGTGAAGCGTGTGTAGTGCTTTTCTCTCCCTCTTCTTTTTCTATTTGCAATTATATGTGTGCTTGAATTGGTCTTTACAATCACTAGATTTTTTTTTTTTGGAGTTACCCAACCCTAATTATCTCTTTGAGACGAGTTGGCTCCCTCCGGTATCCCCACGAGTTTCGACTCTTTGAGCCGGAGTAGAAATCCGAAGAAAAATAAACGTAAAGCATGCTCTCTTATTGAGAAATACTATAATATGAGTATATGAACTTCTCCATTTTATTACTATTTAGTAAAAACGCCATGCATGAACGATCATGACATCCAGTGATATATTATAAATAACAGTGATATAGCTAGTTGGAAATATTGAAGGTATTACAGATCCTTCATCTTATACTAGCTTGGAAACCATAAACATTTATATAAAGCACGTTATTCTTCTGGTAGTCGTATGGCAAGTACTTTCCCTTTATATCCAATATAACTTCACACGATAATAGGATCCCCTGCATTAACAAGGTAGCTTTTAAATCTTATAATCTATACAATCAAGGGAGACAAGGACAAACCATGTGAATAATGTAACATAATTAGAACCAATATAATAAGTATAACTGATGTTATAAAATTCAGAAGAAGCTACGTTGCTTGAAAAAATAATTATATAAGATCGAGATTACACATAAAAACATTTGAGCAAAAGTATTTGTAAATGAGCAATATTACGAATCATTTTTAACTAATCAGTAGAAAAATAAGTGTACAGTTGTTTTTGTAATTATAACACATTCAAAAGAAAAAAAAACTGTACTTCTACGTGCGTTTTGGGAAAACTAATCTGTAATTTTCAGCATTTTTCTATGTATATAGTGATTTTAGTCGATAAAAAATGCATAGCCATTAAGGCACTAACAAGAATTATGTATCTGAATAAAATGAGTGTCTTATATGGGAAAAAAGGTGTCATTTTATATCCTTTCACTCTCATAAAGAGGTGAGACTCGTATTTTTAAAATTTCTTTCACCCTTCTCTCTCCTATGATTTATCTCTTTCTCTCACTTAAAAGGACATAATTTTGTGTCCTTTAAAATGATACACATTTTTTCCGTCTTATATATAAGCTGGTTTTCTTTTCTGTTTACCGCATTAAAAAAAGGGTTTAATATCTTTTGTTGTGGAAGTTAAAATCTTCTTCTATACACATATAAAAGTGTGTGAGACTCATGTTTTTTTTTCAACTCTTTTCTCTTCACATTGCCTCAGCACACTTTTGTGTGTATAGGAGATAATTTTATCTCCTATAACATGAGAAACATAAAAAAATAAAATAAATAAAAAAATATGTGTGTGTGTGTATATATTGGGAAAACAACACATACTATTAGGTGCAGCTCAATTGGGGTATGCGCATTGATTCATGGATGGAATTAGACACGCGGATAAAACGGATGTAGCAATATTAGGGCCAGTCCAACAACTCTTTGCACTGACATGAGCACAGTGACTGAAGATGGTTTGAACTTGATGGGGTAATGTGGAGGTACCACTTGTTTGATCAAGTACAGCACCATGATGTTTCAAGCACCCTTCCAAAGAATTGAAAAGGCAATGAGCCAACCCGTGTGCATCTTCTATTCCAGCATTAGCTTCATTACATGTTTCAGCACCATGCCCCATGCAGTGTGTCAAGGACATTCTAAATTTAGGTGACTCATAGCCTTGAACATAGCTATGGAGTAGGTTAGGCTTAGAAGTAATGGTTTCACCAACTTGAACTGCAACTGCTGCAGCTATGAATATGAATTGAGCAATTAGTATCACTCTCATCTTCTCCATTATTTGGTTTTCTTAACCGTGAATTGATTTATTTGCACTTTTGAATACTATCACGGGCCTGGTGCTCTTGTATTTATAATATGTGCCTTTTACAATATATACATCAGGGAATCTAGGAATCTATATATAAATGTTTTATAAAAATTAATGACCTTTCACTTTTATTTTAATTTTATTCTGTCTGGCTTAAATTGTTTACAAGAGTTAGAATTATATCTGTTTTTCTAACATTAAAATAGTTACAATATATTTAACCATTAAGTGATTACTCCTTTATTCACATATATATATATATATATATATATATATATAGCTTATCATTTCTCAGGCTGCTTGAGATAATTTTATCTCCAGATACTAAATCTATATCATAACCGTAGAAATATGGATCAATGGTGATAAAGAAAGAGAGAGAAAAATGGAATCATAATCATTCAAAAGTGAATCAATTAATATAAGAAAATAAATAAACAAAACGACGTAGATTTAGGATGGCCAGAGATAAACTTATCTCAAGTTGTCCGAGAAATATTTTTCTCATATATATATATATATATATGGCTTTAATGTTTCTAAAGTGAACGTAGATAAGTTATCTACATTCGTTGCTAAAACGACGTCGCTTTGGGTTGAAAAATTAAAAAATTATAATGAAAAAGACTATAATAACCCTGAAATAACTTATAATTACAAAAATACCTTGATTTCCGCATCAAAACAACGTCGTTTTGGGCTCAATGTAGATAAGTTATCTACATTGACTGTATAAAAAATGAACCCTATATATATATTTTTTCTTTTTCTTTTTCTTTTTCTTTTTGGTGCAACACTTTTTTTTTTCAAATGTTCTAATTCAAAAGGCTGAGTTGTCAAATATATATTTCTTTTTGATTATGTCTAATGAATCATCAAACAGTTATGATAAAACAAATAATTATTATTATTTTTTAAAACCCCTTTAGATATGATGATACCCTTATGGATACCATAAGGTCCATAACAACTCTCATCAAACAATGTTGACATTTTAGAACGATTCGATTTAACAAAGAGACACTCGTTCAAATTATTGTTTGGTAATCCGTTTAAGAAAGAGTCCCTTCTTTTTATAATTTAAAAATGCTTGATGTACACATAATTTTAATTGATTAAAGAGTGTAGTTATACGTTACCATTATCATTAAAAAGAGTTTGATTGCAATGACAATTATTTGGGAAAAATATAATTTTTTTAGTAAATAACATTCTTTACTTAAAAATATCCCAATTACACCTTCAATTTTTTATTTTGAAAAATTACATTATAAAAATAGTTTTTTTTCCAATTTTTTTTTTGGATTTCATGACCACAATTATTTCTTTTGGGCAAGTCAAGTCTCTACTCTCTAGAATATCTCCACACCTAGGCGAAAAAAGAAACTCACTTAAGCAGTATTATAAAACTCGGCCCGATCTGGTTGGGTTGATCAAAAATGTGGTGAATTGGTCATTGGACCGGTTCGAGTCCAGCACCAGATCCGGACAAAACCTGATCAAAATCTGTGACCTGGTCTGGTCATGCATTTTTATAAAAAAATAAAACAAAATTGTTTAAAAAAATGTATAAGTCATTTTTAAAAAAATTTATATTTTTATTTGTGAGAAGTATACTCTTCTACAACGACCTCAAATTTCAACTTATAATACTGAAGCAATTTGCAGAATAAGAGAATGTGACATATGTCATTTCAATGTTGTTAAATTTGAAAAATATGAGTTAACAACATCTTATCTTTTAGATGTTATTAAGAGATATGCTTAGGAGGATTCTGAATTACAATTTAAATTGACATAGTAATAACGTGCATTTTATTTATTTGTGCTTCATGAACTTGTAAGAGTGTGATTGGGTAAATTTTGAACTTATTTAGTAAACCTTGTTTAAATCATTTTAGAAATGAAGAATATAATTATATATATATATATATATATATATATATATATATATATATATATATATATATATATATATATATATATATATATATATATATCTGGGTCAATCAGTTTAACCAGTGACCCATCGATCCGACCAGTCATTCATCATTCTGACTGGATCAATATCCGGACCGGATTTAATCACAATGCACTTTAAGTATGGAATGTCTAATCCCGAGTTGATTGTCATGACAATTATTTACCTCGAACCTCAAAACTCCTCTCCAATATTCAAACCCTTGCTCTTTTAATCATTCACCAATGTGGTTCATATTGTCACTTGAATGAACCATCAGGATTAATCATTTTCTTTCTACTACTCAGAAACGGTTACTTTTAAACCTTATTATCATTTTAGAAAACAAAATAAAAGATTTTAGGTACATTTCTAAAGCCGTCATTAGAGAGTGTTTTAATCTTTATTTCATTTTCTTAGCAAAAATACCCGGGTATCTTAACAAAAAAAAATTGTTACAAAATAATTACAAATAACGCTGAGAGCCATACAAAAAAAAAAGCTTTTGAGAAACTAGTGTTTTAAAACTCCGCTCCATCTCGGGGTTGACCCCCCCCCCCCCCCCCCCTCTCTCTCTCTCTCTCTCAGGGTTTGGGTTAGTAGTTAGACCCTACTTGCACGTTGACCTCTCTAACTCCCGATTGAACCCGTAACTCCTGGGTCAGAGAGGCCACTGCATTTTTTTAAAAAAAAAATTATACATGAAATGACGTCGTTTGATGTGTAAAAAAAAACTCACTACTGCCTAGATTTAGAACTAGATCTGAAATTTGAATCGTTCTTCTTCTTTTCTTCTGATCTTTTATCCCCGACTCAGACCCAGTCTCCCTGTTCTGGTGATCTCCTCCACTCTGCTGGTTCTTCTCTCCCCTCTGTTAATTTGTCATGTCGCCACCTCACCTCCGCTATTCTCTATTGGGTAAGGGATCTCTTTCACATACTGTTGTAGGTGCATGAAAAGGACACGAAGGATCTGAGTTTGATGATAGAACTTTTCATTAACTCCATTGGGACATGTGTTTTATACTTTGATACTTTGATTAGCTTGTAAATATTGACTTGTAGATGTAATTGCTTGAATTATGTAAGTATATTTTGAATTTTTAATGATTGGTAGTTTAATTTTTTTTGAATTTTTTCATATAGAATATATATTTATATTTTTTTAATGTATAAAATTGGGTCACCGAAATGATCCCATGATCTCCTAGTTGAACTGTGACCCTTAACCTCGCTCGGCCTAGGCGATTGCCCGACCGGGTTTTTAAACACCGTGAGAAACTCATTTATAAGTATCTCCCATTAGAATGTGACTTTTAAAATAAAGAGAAAGATAATATGATTTAAGTAACTTTGAAAAGAGGAAAGTGTTGGTTTTTTAAAAAATAAATAAATAAATAACAAATAGGCCTATCCTGTTGGACACTAAAAAATTAAAGCTGCATTCTTGCCCACTTGGTATAAACAGCTGAAAGGGGCAACGAGCCACACAATATGGGCTAAAAATAAGGGGAATTGTGACCCCTTCGCATATTAATTAAGCAAAATCTGAAAGCCCAGATTACGATGACAGCCCATTGTCTCCCTTAAAACATCCACAGAAACTGGCCCAAAGCCCAATGAGATATATTGGCTAACCAGTCCCACGAGCCCAATAGTTGCAGACTGCAGAACCAACCATTCTCCTCTGCTCTTAGCTCTGTTCTTGACTTCTTGCCATATCACAAATAAGAATCCAAGTGTCCCTTTTACTACACTACAAAGTATATCACAATTTCAATCCGTGCATAACTACTATACTATACATGAGTATAATACAGAGATGCACATGATGATTCCACGCCAGTATAAATTGCAAGTGTGCAATTTTGTATCTATCAAGCATGCCAGTAATACTGCAAAAGGTTGAAACTACCAATTATTCATTAATAGCCTCTTCATAAAATGCTTGTGGCATGATGATTCTAAGAAAGCATGGAAGCATTTTTAAAATTCATATGAGACTGCTATGTTGATTGACTTCTTTAGTTTGCAGAATTTCGGAATGAAGTATGGGAATTTCCTCACTCCCTATCTTACTATAACCTTTAGATCTTCCACTGGTTGATCAGAAAACTTTGAGTCTTCAATCAAGGTTTGTAAAATAAGCGAAGCCTCTGAGAGCCTTCCCTTATATAGGTATTTGTCTAATGTCAGGGAATACTCAACAGCAGTTTGGAGTTCAATCTTATTTAGATCGCATGATATAATATTCCTCCATTCTTTTGATTTTCCTTTTTGGCATAAGCCATGTAGCAGAGCAGTGAAACATACAGAATCCATACCAAAGCCCTTACTCAACATCTTAGTTTGCAACAATTGAGCAGTGTCAACCATTCCATGCTTACAAAGACAAACAATAACAGAATTATATGCAGCAATCACTCGGTTGAATCCATCCGATATCATCATTGCAAAGAAATCCAAAATCAAGGACCTGTCGTTTTCCTTGGACTCATTTTTCTCAGTAAGAACTGGACTAGTCGTAATATTTGTTAAACCCTTTATCAGATTATGGAATGTAGCATCATTTGGAAGATAATTGTTCATCAGCATTAGCTCAAAAAAGGATGCTGCTTTTTCAGGTTTACCGTCATTAAAGAAACCCCCGATTAGTATAGTGTATGTGACAACATTAGGCTCCAAATTGAAAGATTGCATCCCTCTGAAAACTTTTTCAGCGCTGCTCATATCTGCTTTCTTGCAGAATCCATTGATCAAGGAGGTGTAGGCGACCACGTTTGGCTTGAATTTCTGTTTCACCATCTGTCCAAACATCTTGAGTGCACTATTTAAGTCATGCTGTTTCACATATCCATCTATAACTGTGGAATAAGTGTATTCATCTGGAGCATGATGCACATTTTTCATCTTATTGAAGCATGACATAGCATCTGTCATTTTTCCGAATTTACAGAAACCCTTAATCATTGCATTGTACCCCACAGTGCCAGGGTCTATACCCTTTCCAATTATGACTTCAAAAAGCTTTTTTGCCTCATCAAGTTCATCATTTCTAATAAACCCATCTACTAAGGTGGCATAAACATATGCATCAGGTTGAACATTACGATCAAGCATTTCTGAAAGTAGCAGTTTGGCAGCAGGAAACCTCCCTTTCTTGCAGAGACCACTCATCAGCACATTGTAAATTTGAGCATCAGGAAATACACCCTTCTCCATCATTTTCTCTCGGACCATCAGTGCAACTTCAATTTCCCCAACAACGACAGTTCCATGGATAAAAGCTCCATAAGAAACCAAGTCCGGTTTATCTCCTGTTTCAGCAATCTTAAAAAGCATATTAGATGCTTTAACATAATCCCCTTGTTTGCAATAAGCATGCATGACGGGTGTATAAGTAAACTTATTAGGCAGCAATCTCCTTTCCATCGCCCTCTCTATGAGTTCCTCAGCTTCTTCAATTTTCCCACCCCTACATGAAAAGTTAATCAGTGTATTGTAAGTTGCAATATCTGGCTCACAACCCATGTCAACCATCCTCCTCATTGTCTCAACTGCTTTTGTTACCAAACCATGCTTGTAATAAGCATCAATAATATTATTAAACACTTGTACATTCAAATTCAATCCCCTTGCAGTCATTTCTATCAGAAGTTGATCAACTTCTTCGAACTCCCCTGCTTTGCAAAATCCATTAATCAAAACCCCGTAAGTTTCTAATGTTGGCAAAACCCCCTTCAATTTCAATTCCTTGAGAACTCTAGTTGCACCTTGGAGATCACCCTTCTTGCAAAACCCATCAATAATCGTATTGTAAAACACAACATGTGGCACACAACCTTTTCCCCATCTATCTTCAATTAACCTCCTACCTTCCTCAACCTTCCCCAATTTGCACAGGCCCTTCACCACTATGGAGGTGCTATAGTTATCCACAACAGCACCCACACCATCATCTGTTTCAAGCATTTCATCATACAGCTGGCGCGCAATATCAACTTTTCGGTTTTTAACTAGACCATTCAACAACGAATTGCTAGCGACAACAGTGGGAAAACAATTATGCATTTCACGCACTGTATGGAATAACTGGAGGGCCCTATCAACCAACCCAGATTCTCCATAAGCACGAATCACAGTGCTCAATGCTTCATGGGTAGGTTTCAAGTCTTGCACTTTCATGTTCTCCAACACCAACTCGATCTCCGAGAACACTCTGAACCTCGCCAAGAGCTTCAGAAGAGAAGAATACGCAAACCCATCGAGAGAACAAGAAAAGGGTCTCGTCGAAGCCCAATCAAAAAACTTCAAACCCAGTTCTGCGTCGTGTATTCGGTCTATAACGAAATGGGCAACATCCGAAACAACAACCTCGGATTCCGCGAAGCGGGATTCGAGGGAATCCTGCCATTGCTGCTGGGTTTTAAGGATTCGGATGACGTCGAGAACGAGGTTCTTGATACCGGGAGGCGTAAAGGCCGTGGCTTTAAGGCGGTGACGAGGTTTGATTCGAGAAAGAATGGACTTCGACATTGGGTTTGGAAGGGAGCTATGGTTTGAAGGAAGAGTTTCAAGGTTTCAATCATTTGTCAGATCAAATGTTACATGAGAGAAACAACAACTGCAAGTCCTCCAGTGTTCCATAACCTTCTATTTTTTTTTTTTTTTTTTTTTTTTTTTTTTTGATAACACATAACCTTCTATTTAACTGTACAAGGTCAAGTATCTCAGCCTCTTTCATGTCATCGCTAAACTTGGTTCCTAAATCGTAGTTAAACTTAAAAGTGATTGTTTGGATTTTTTATTTTTATTTTGGATATTATTGTTTGGATTTTTTTATTTTATTTTAAAGTAAAAGCTACTTATAAACATAAACAGAAGTTAGTTGAATTAATAGAGGTTAATCAACTAATTTTTTAAAAAATATTTAACTTAATATTAATATTTTTATATCAATTAATAGATTTTTTTTAAATAATTATTGTGTTTATATATTAATAACTATGGAAATAATTTTCTCATGTTGCATGAGATAATTATTTTATGTAAATTATCTTATGTAACTGAGACAAGATAGTGAGATACACTATTATTTCATGCAATATGAGATAAATAGATCTCTAATAACTGAGGGGAGGTTATATTCATTCATGCACAAATTTCCGGTGACAAGAGATGAAAGAGAAAAAAATATAAGAATAAAAAATCATGAATAGTTAAAATCTTCTCATGTAATGTAATATCTCACATATGATATGATCCCATTAAATAACATGTAAAAGAATTCACTTCCCATTTACAACATCTTTTTCCGTAGAAACTCTTAAACTATTTTTCTTCCAGTATAATGTTTTTTCAATGTTTGATTCAATTCCAATGTCATTGTAATTAATCCTAGTGATACAATACATCATTGATTTGTTTCATTGCTAGGTTCAAATGCATCTAATGTGCGCACAAGATGGCGGCACTAAGATTACCCAAATTTCTAGGTCCTATCAACAACTAATATCATAATTGCCGTGCATTACTTTTTGGGTTTTATTTTTCTTATATTATATGAGATAAATTTTCTTTTCTACTTTCACAATAAATGATGAAACCCACTTCATTTTTTTTAAAAAAAAAAAAAAAAAAAAAAAAAAAAACACACGAAAATCGAAGTGAATAAGAGATAAAATTTCCCTTATATGACATAAGAGAAATAAAACCCTTACTTTTTACTTGAAATGTTAGATAATCAAGCAATGTTATTAGGCTCATTACATTTGAACTCATTTTCATATTGATTTTTTGCATGATCATCAATGAAGCTTGAGAGGCTCACAGTGAGAATATAAATTATTCGAAAGGATAGATGTTGGGCAACTTTAACAAAAAAAAAAAAAAAAAATGGCAGGTAAAAACTTATAAATTAATACCAAAAAAACAAAGAACTTATCAATTGCGAATAACGGTCATATGTTTAATGAGTAGAGTAAACAAGGCAGAAGGATTGATCATCTATCGAAGGATCAAACAACCTGCATTCAGAACATGAAACCGACCCACTGATGAAACTTTCTAAAATCTTAGAGGACTTCCGTTAACCAAAAACACTCGGAATAGCAATGAGACAAAAAAATTAATTTACATGCTCTGACTGCAAGCTAGCGGATTTTCAACCAGGGATGGAGCTTCCCACGTTTTCACCACCCTAGTATTTTGTCAAAATTCTGGCTATTTTTTTTTATAGCTGCGTAGCATTGCTTTTTCTGTATATGCCCTTTGTCTTCATAGACCTGGTCAATGCCTTTTCTACTCAATAAGGGCAAAAGGGTATGCAAGAGACCAGTCCAGTCGAAAGTGTTCATACTCTTAGCTGATAAATGCGAAAACAACCAACAGCAATGTCTCCATATCATGTCCATGAGAAATTGCACATTACTCTCCACCCCGTTTATTGTTCCTTCTGATGGTCAAGATGTTCTAACCATGGTCATATACTTGATGTCTCAAGTCTAAGGATAATCACAAAATTGACACTTGATTTTGTGCCTTACAATGCAACAACGTTCTCCTTCGTTTGTCCCTCCCACACTCTTCACAATAATTTTCACAGCAAAAGGCTAATGCAACTTCTCCAATACACTTCAATCAAACTTAGCTAACCAGATAAATAAATTGATTATTCTTTTAATCAATAACTTTCATTGGACATAAATATGAATGGGATACCTTCAAACCAGGTGAACATTCGGCTATCATCTGTCATCAATCCAAAGCACGTAAGCACAAGGAAGATAAGATCCATGTCCTAAAGCAGAAACCCATCTCTGTATAGTGCATACTAGTTTTCTCCACTAGTACCTCATTAAGCCAAGTGCATACATCATGCAGCGTGGACAGAAACCCTCCAGAAAGCCTCAGGGTCCGAATAAGGAGACTCCTAGACAAATACATAGAGGCATCTCCCCCCTGCTTTACAAAACCTGCATATCAAAATTCTTCCAGAAATTTCCAGAGCATGACAAGAACACTTCATCTCTTCCACTTCAAAAACAAATAGATATTTGGGGTCAATTCAAATTTACCTCCTCATACCTAGTACTATCAAGCCATAAAACACTAATCCTCAGATCTATAATTTCATCAATCAAGTCCACAAGTTTAGAAGTTTAACAGCATAATGAATTTACATTAGGAGGATTAATTCTTGGAAAAAGGCTCCTCTAAAGTTAGCAAGTAAAGGTGTATCCACCCTCAATTTAATAAAGTATATCATGATTTAACACACTAAATGATCTAAGGTGGATACACCCTTACTAGATTACTTTAGAGACAAACTCACTTTAGAGTAGACTTTTCCTAATTCTTAAAAAGGGCATTTGCAATAGGGAAGTCATGTGATTTTATAAGCTCAAATGGAGAAGATTTATTGAGAGTATAAGATAGCTTATACAACTTGAAGTTCCCAAGTTTTCTGTTGAATTTCCTGCATCAAGACCTTGCATGTATGTTACATTGCCAACCTCCAATAAGATTTAACCCCAATTATAAATGATGGGTTGCATTTATGAAAATAACAATCTGAAAATAAACATTGATTGTATGACAAGTGCAATAGTGCACCCGTCTCTTCAAGAGGCATATCAATCATTTAGTAAACTAGAAAGAAAATGGGAGCGAAACTCCTTTGATTTCAGTTATAAGAGCTTCATGTCATCATTAGGGACTAAGCAAATTGGGCTTGGACTTCTAATCCACCCATTCCACTTTTTATTTGACATCTCCTTGAAATGTATTTTTGGCCAGCAATATTCATGTGTTTTAATTCAAATTTCAAAGCTATTCACATAAATGGTTTTTAACAGTCATACCGGTGATATTTCAAGACTGGGGGAGTAGTTAAGCCAAAATTTAACCTAAGCACGTCACCAAAATAAGATAATATAAAAAACATGAAAAACGCACGCATATTGATCCAAAAAACAAATGTAACTTGAACAGAAAAATTAAAAAAAAAAAAATGTTACCAAGGTTTACATCGGATCATTGATATCCAACAAGGATGAACTTCTCTTATTTAAAATGAATATTGTGTTCTCCACCACAATTCTGAAGTCATTTCACAATTCTGAAATCATTTAAGTATTACATTAGTATCTTAAACAACTGCAACTAAATTAACATAACATATGCATGCATACATGATTTTTTTTTTCCAAAACACAAAAGAAGTGATGTTGCAAAATAGCATGGGCCTTAAACACCAGAAATCCACTCTAAACTTTTCAGTCATTGCAAATGAAATGAATATTTGGTTTATTACTATTGACATTCATAAGAAGATCCATGACCAAATCACACGACAATATTACTTTCCCAATGAAAGACACGGAAAATAATAGTATATGCAACCTACATAACCATGCAAGATTTGTCAGCAATGAAAGTAATCACAAAAATGGTGCGTGTGTGGTGGAGAGAAAGAATGCTTGCATGAGGAGAAGAGTGCTTCAGAACTTACAAGAGTTGATATGGTATTCGCGTCTTGAAATATCATCTCGGCCAAATATTATTAAGGATGGTACAATAAAACTAACTGAGTGGAAATAACTAGTATTTGACTACTTGTATAGATGTAATTGCATCAAATTTCCAGGCTTGTTAAAATTTTCAAGATGTACAAATGAATAGAATACAAAGAATATGAGATCCTTTTGGGCTACTGTCTCACAAAAGTCAATTTGATTTCCTGTTTCCCTACTCCCCTTAATTTAACTCTTGGATAATATGGATTGCATGGCAGCCAAATGATTGGCAGAGAAGGGAGGTTTTCTTCTCTTAGCCAATGTAAGGATCATCCTTCCTTTATCAATCTGCCCATTTCCCTTTAGGCATTCCAGCAGCATATATATGGTATCTACACTCGGAAACCAATTCTTCTGCATACTATCTTTGGACATAGTGTATGCCAGATCAAAATCCCCACTCTTACACATATAATGAATCATGGTCTGGTAAATCTTAGCATTAGGTTTATACCCCTTCCCGTGTAGTGCAGAATAAACCCTCTTTGCCATGTCAATATAACCAGCTTGGAAAAAACCTTTGATCACCAAATTAAAGGTAACCTCATCAGGTTCAACCCCCACTCTCTGCATCAAACCCAACAAAGCATTAGCATCCCAAGCTCGCCTCACAGTAACCAGAAACTGTATCCGAACATTAAACGTGGCAAGATTCGGCATACAACCCTTCAACACCATACGGTTCCACAAGCCATTCCCAATTTCCCACCTTTTATTCTGGTAAAATGCAGACATAAGAGTAGTATAAGTCACCACATCCGGTTGAATACCCTTATTCTCAGCCTCTAACAAAAACAAATAAGCCTCTTGTAGCTTTCCCATTTCACAAAATGCCTTAATAGCAATATTGATAGAAAAGGTATCTAATTGAATGTCAAACCTAAGAGGAACAAGTGCTAAAAAATCAACAATTGAGTCAAAATTTCGTGTCAGAGCCAAGACACTAAGAGCAGAATTAAAAGACTTAACAGTTCTACGACAACCAAACGAATTCATATCATAGAAAGTGTTGATGGCATGCTTGGTCATGCCAGCTTTGCCATATAAGATGATAATCCTAACAATGAAACCTTCACGTCGACCCTGTGGGAGTCTCTTCTGCTGCTCCAGCAACTCCTCGATGTAATCAAAACGGCGAGCACCGGCGAGCCTCGAAACGGTGTCGTCGAATGCGAAGCGATTCTCGATCAGAAGACGGTTATTGGCATTGGCCTTGAAGAGGTGAAAGAGCTTCTCTGGGTTTCTCTCTGCTTTGAGCTTGTCGAGAGCAGGGGGTTCTAAGGGTTTGGTGCTCTGAACGCGATTTCGAGGAGTTTCGGTTGCGGCTGCGGCGGCGGCGGCGACGGCGACGGCGGAGGAGGAGGAGTGGCAGAATCTGCGAGTGGGTCGCAGAGAGAGCATGATCAGGGAGATAGTGAGAGAGGATCATGCTCAAAGAATAGGGTTACGAAGAACGAGCGCCGCCACCTTAGGTGCAGCATCTTCAATGTTCAGGAGAGTCACCATTCAATGGGGTTTCCACCACTTTTCCCCATTTTCTCGTCTCTGATTAAACCCATCAACGTTACAAAATGGTCATGAAAATAAGATGGGAAAAGTGTCAGTGATTTAAATTTATTTAATTTTAAGATTGAGATATATATAAAATAATATTTTTTATTTAAAATTTAAATTAAAAAAAATTATTCATTTTTTTTTTATGATTTTTATTTTTTTTTCTTAAAATGACATAACTTATGTCATTCAAAATGATAGACATCAAACCCAAATAAGAAACATTGAATTGATTTAAGAGTTTTGTATTTGTCATTTTGCATGACAAATGCGAAATTTTCTATACATACATCTATATTTGTGTTGTATTTTTTTTCTTTTTTATTTATTTTAAACATAGTGGACCTCACACTTATTGTCTCTGTACCATGACAAGAAAGTTGTCTTACAACAGGATACATACATATTTTTTCCTTGATTTAAATCACATAAAGTTATATTAATTTTAATAAAAATATATCATTTTGGTAAATTTTTATATTTTCTCTCTTTCATTTTCTTTTCCTTTCTAATTTTATAAATTAAAAAAAAATTAATGTTTCTAAAGTGAATGTAGATAAGTTATCTACATTTTGCTCCTAAAACGACGTCGTTTTGAATTGAAAAATTAAAAAATTATAATAAAAAAGATTATTATAACCCTGAAATAAATTATAATTACAAAAATATCTTGATTTCTGCTTCAAAACGACATCGTTTTGGGCTCAATATAGATAAGTTATCTACATTAACTGTAGTAAAAGTGAACAGTTGGCAGCTAAGCTCCTAAGGATTTGCTTGAGTCAGGGTCCAAATCATGTCTCAAGCAAATTCTTGAAAAATCTTTGGGGGTCAAAGGAAGTGCATCTCTCCTCGAATGGGGGATTAGTGTCATCCTTCCTCCGGTAGCGAAGTTCAATGCACCCGCTGTTCCAATGAGGGACTAGCCAAAAGGGGCGTACCTCGAGGGCAAGGTGACCGGGGAAGGTTGAATAGGGATACCTCCAAGTTATATAAAAAAAAAAAAAAAAAAGTGAACCCTTTAAAAAAATGACAAAACCCATAATTTCATTAAAAAATATATAAAATTATGTTATTTAAAATAAGAAACACTAAACCCTGTTGTATATATCTGTTTGAGTGTAAAAGCTAAAAAGAACTATATATGATATGAACAATGTTATGTTTACTTGAAGTTGAAAAATTAAGCTAACGACTCTCTGAATTATATAAGATAAAAAAAAATAAGTGTTTTTTTTCTTAGTACATACTTTTGCTATTTATCTTTGAGTATTAAACTCGTGTATCTGTGATTTATATATTATGAAGTAAATGCTTCATTCTTTTTAGTATTCCGTAAATTCAGATGATGCAATCTTTTCGATTCCAATTTATCCAAATAAAAATAATGTATTCTCCAAACGAATTAAAATTTCAACCATGGAGTGAAATTTGTTGACTAGTTATGATGATCTCACATTTTTTGTTTTTTCCTTAAATTATTAAAAATTAAACGCAAATCACAGGGACATTGGTGATAAAAAAAAAACTATGTCCCTGTGGTTTTTAAAAAAGGGAAAACCACATGAAGCAAAGAATGGCGTAATTAAAAAAAGGGAAAACTTGTTATAAAAAAAAACAAAAAAGGGAAAACTTCACCGATACCTATGTGGTTTGCTTCAAAATCACCTATGTCCCTGTGATTTTTTTTATCACATATGTTCCTGTACTTTATAAAAAATAAAAAACCACAGGAGCATATATGATAAAAAGCATACTCTTTTACAAACCAAAGAGACATATGTGATAAAAAAAATCACATGAACATAGGTGATTCTGAAATAAACCACAAGGACATTGGTGAATTTTTCCTTTAAAAAAAAAAATCAACCAAACCCAACTATCTTAATTATTTGAAAAATATTAGAAGGATATATATTTAATATTTTTTAGTTTATTTTTTCTTTCTCGGATACATACATCTGAGAGTTTTCAAAGTTATTTTTTAAATCTTGTATTGATTGTTAGACTGATTTTTTTAGAAAATGATTTACATTATTCAAAATAACCTGCTCACTGAATTTTGGAAAAGAATTAATTGTAAGCTTTATCTTTCCTTGATTAAAAGAGATTCAAATCCTCAATCTGACTTTGTAATAAAACTACTGGGGTTTTATTCATCTTCTTTCCATATTTATTTGGATAGAATGAATTCGAGGAACTAATAAAGACCAAGGGAATTTTATCTGCCACATTTAGAAAAAAGGAGATAGGATCCATTAATTACCATATTCTTTCTCTTTATAGGTTTCTCTTTCTCCATTTTATCTCTCTTGGGCATATAGATTTTTTCCAGAAAACATTTTCCCAAAGATTAATAACATGCTAGAACACCATTTCCCAAAAGATTTTTTTTTTTTAGTACATAACACAAAAAAGATTTAAGTGAAAGACAATGTAGGTAAAGGGCAAATTCCTCTTTTAAGGAGTTGTACTCTGAAAAGCATAAATTTTCTCCTAAAGTTGAGTGCAATGCTATATCGTATATGCTCAATAAATGGACAAATGAACAAGGTGGTTTTTCCCAAGGTGATTTATAGGCTTAAAACTGCACCAAAACACAATATAAAGGAAGGGGGTTTTCAATTAGACAACCAACCCATCAAGGACTAGGAAGAGTTGAGAAAATATGAAATTCAACTACTTTTGCATTCACTCTTAACATTAATGTTGTTCTCCATTCTAAGAATGGTACAAAATGACACCTTAAACAAAAGTATGACATCTCGGAGGTTAGACCGCAGTTTGTTTTTGATTCATCGTTTAATCTTTTGAAGTTATCACGAGCAACCCCAAAGCACCAATGAGAATATACTGCAAGGAAGAGACAACTTTAGTACACTTGCTGCAACTCAAAATCTATGTCATGCACCTTTAAATTGGTCATCATTTATCTCCTTGTAAAACATCATGACAGAATTATCAAGTTTCACCATAAACATACATGAAACAACCAATTTCGGCTAAATGATAAAAGTAAAGATTGGAACAGCAAACAAACCTTGATGATAGGTTTTTCAGTCATAATAATTGTCACCCAGCCAACATAAGGTAAGAACCTGTCATTGTCAAATACAAGCAATGATAATAGAATACCAGAATACACTTTTCAATTGAACAAGCTTCATTATAAGAGAACTTGAACGCAAAACTGTATAGGTATCACCGTAGGCTAAACTAGTCTAAATTGAGTGAAGCAAGCGTAACTAAAAGAAATGCTATATACCCGACAGCTCTACCCATAATGTGGTGCCTTTGAAGCCAAAGCTGACCATGAGCATACAGTAGCCTGTCATCCCCATAATTGTTATCTCCTGCCAAAGATAGCAAAATACTTGAAGGGGGAGCATTATAGTAACAGATAACCACTAACTAAAATGGACAACTGAACCAAAAATTATGAAATAGAATATTAAAAAAATAATAATGAATTTCAAATTCACAATGAGGTTAGGTTTTGTATAATTGAGGACCTAAAATCAGCATTGTCAGTATTTTTGTAAAATTATCTACTCATGGACTAGTCACTACCTTTCGTGAGAACATCAACCTCTCCTGTATCTTGCCTTTCGTGTACCTACAAAATGATCAAGTTAAGACACTCAAACAGGGTAACCATAACTATTATACACTGCATGATAATAACCAATAGGTGTATATTTCAGAAAGCATAAAGAATGTTAAACCAGTGAAAAAAATTATGCTTGAGGGATTCAGGAAGTTTCTCTTTGGAATGAAGGATTAGTCCAGGTAATATGAATCTTATCTAGTATCCTCCGATTCTTGACACTCCAGTTTCCACAATTTTGGCAGTTACAAGAAATTAATGAAAGTAGTTCAAGCAACACGAGACAGACAGAGAGTGGAGGGAGTTCTAATGGCATTGTAATATGTTGATCCTTATCACTCGTGATTAAGATATCATAAATAAGAAATAAAAACCGACAGTAGCTACATTGATGAACCCAGGCATAGAAATTGGATCATACCAACATCCAACTGGGTATGCTATAATTGTTATGTAATTTATGTAGTTACATTTTGAATAGGCATCCCTACACATTCATGAAATGAAATGGGTCCCCCCATGCAGAACTAATTGTCCAGCCAAAAGACAAGTATGTTTCCAAGTGGATATGGATCCTCTCATCTGAGGTTCTCAAATAACACTTGGTCTCAGAATCACATTCAGTAGTGATGCAATGCAACTGAAGGAATGAATGTGCCAAATACAACCAGAATATTGTGCTTACCTTAATCACACGATGAACAATTGGAATCTCACGTCCCTAAAAAAATAAAAGGTACATGCCAATAGAGTATGTCAGTGAGGAAAGGAAAGTAGTGACTGGATTACAAAGAATCAGAAAATGAATATAACTAGCAAGAACGACCACAACTTCTCAAGAGAGACTTGCAATCACACAATACACAAACCTATTATTCTGGAAAGAAGTCTTACGTAATGATGCAGATATAATTTTTTTTATATAGACTAATGCCTCAACAAAAACATCAACATTAAATATGAATCAAGATATGCAAAAAAATAAATAATAAAACCGAGAGGGATCTTACATCCACATTAAACACAACAATCTCCCCTGCACGAATTGGATCTTTACTCATGTGCAAGAATAAGATGTCCCCCTGCATATAGCATGAAAAACAACATTTGTTAAGACCACAAAGAAACAGAAAAATTATATTGAAAAGTAATTTGCATATATATGCAGCTTCTCTCTTCTTGCCGAAGTACTCAGCTAGTAGATGATCGACATAAATCTAGAATTATGACTGTAAGACACACAAAATACTACTTATTGTAGAAGATATCTGAGACAGAATTACTGAAGCAGTCATGCATAAAATTGACTTACCCGCTTGAATCCTGGTTCCATGCTTCCAGAAAGAACAACAACAACAGGAGATTCACTGCCAGTGATGCACATCAACGCCTTCCATATTATTAGTGCAGACGTAACAATCATGCCTGAGGCAGAATACAGACTACTTCAGTTAAGCAGAAGTTATATAAATAGACCAGAAAACCAGAATGTCACCAGCACTTGTGGCGAAATCAACATAGCATATACCAAAAATTTATCAACCAAGAAAAATGCTAAAGTAGTATCTGCAGCATATGCATACAGTATTATGAAGGAACAAATAAAACCAATATATAGTTTAAAGGGTTCACAATATAGTAGCTTAGTAATGGCAAACAATGGTTTTATGGTTCGGAAGCAATTCTATGTTGTCCCCACACTCTTTTCAAAATAAATCTCAGTGTGTTCCTCACAAACTTCCCTCACCAAAATCTTTCTAATTTTTCACCTGGTCTACAAGCCACGGGACACCAATAACCCAAGAGAAAAGTTATTTATTAGTAATGCCCTAAACCATAGCCTGGAATCAATACCCTGAACACAAGCACAACTCGTCTATGTCACAATCAATCCCTCTATTGAAAACCCTCAGCCGAAAATTGAAGAAATTTATGCTCCATGCTGTATCCTCTTCTTTCAACTATTAATTGGCAAAAATGCCAATGCAATGCTACAAGGTCTTGATATATAAACCCAAAAGATTAAAAAAAAAAAAAAAAGTAAAGATTTTTATTCCAAAACATCAATTTCCTATGATTTCAGAGTTGACCCATATCATTTTAGCCCCCAGATAGACCTAAGATAATGCAAAGATTGTATTTTTTTATAAAAAAAAAAAAAAAAAAAAAAATTAAGCATAGGTTAGTGGATGTGAGAGAGAAAGCGAGTAAAGGAACGAACCAAGACTAACAGCTTGGGTGAGGACTTGGCGGATCTGAAGAGATTTGATGGAATCCACAGTCTCACCGATCCAACCCATTGCTTCCTTTCTTTTCTTCAATACCTCTCTCTCTCTCTCTCTCTCTCTCTCTCTCTCTCTCTCTCTCTCTGTGTGTGTGTGCGAATGTTGCTGCTCCCAACTTTAAACCCTCCCCTTTCCTTCTGTCCGGTTATCGATACCAGAGAGGGCAAATTTTTACGACAATAATATTTTCTTTTTCTTTTTTTATAATTTTCTTCCGATCTAATTTACTAATTTCCTTTCAGGGAATGATTTACTTACTATTATTTAAGTTTATTATTTTTATTATTTTGATTGATTACTATTAAATTAATTTAAAATCAATGATTAAAAAATAGAAAAGTAGTAAGTATAAAATTGATCCAATATAATCAATTAGATAATAAGAATAATAAGTCTAAAATGATAACAAGTATAACGCTCCCTTTCTTTTGTTAATATCTTTTTTTTTTGGTAAGTAGAAAAATATTGTGTTTATACGATCGGATTAATGTTTTGTTTTTATTGTAGAAAAAATTTCTATATCACACTCACATAAAAGTAAATAGGTCCTTTTGTAAAGAAAAGAGAGAGAAATGTATTACATGGGGCATGTTATTCCTATGCCGGTGTAAGAATAAGTAATTTTACACTCAATTTTGACTATTGATAAGTTTACTTCTAATGATTTACATATCTAGTAAATCTGAGCTGTTAGATATAAATAAGATCAATAGATAAAATTAAGAGTTTAACTTAGGTTGGTATAAAATAATCTTGACCCCCATTACATGAGGCAAATTATTCTTACAATGATATAAGAGTAAAGAGTTTTACACCAATCTTGATCATTGGTGTGTTTACATCTAATGATTTACATATCTAATAATTAGAGTCCTTAGATATAAATAAGATCAACGAATAATATTGAGAATGTAATTTACATAGGGTAGATTAAGGTGTGCATAGGGCAGATTAGGGTGTGCATGACAACGATTCTCCAACACTAAAAGAATATTTTTTTTCAATTTCTATGCCTTGGAAGAGTTTCTAAAAAAAAAAATACGCTTGATAATGCGTTTTATTTATATTCAAAGAAGCAAAATTACGTTTGATAATACAAATTTATTTCTTTATACGAAAAAGATGAAAGAATTTAAACAAAAAAAGTCAAAATTAGGGTTTATTGTTCAATTCCCAAAATCAAAAGAAGTTTAACTCTCGATTCGTCGCAAGCAATAAAGACTCCAGGGGTAACTAAGAGATAAATAAACGAAAATATACGGGAGATAAACACGAATGCTTGAAGAAATTTGAACTTTTTCGTAAAAATATAACTAAAAAGGAGCGGGAAGGAGAGAGAGAGGGAGAGGAACAATGTTTTGAAGAGATGGAGTCATAGAGAGAAGAAGACGAGAGGAGAGGAGAAAATAAGTTTACTTGATGGATAGAAGACAACTTGGTTGGAAACAAAATGAGATTAGGCTCATTCCAATGGATAGGGACACCCTTGCGCAAGCAAAAAAAATTAGAAAAAAACAACACATCTTATTTATTTATTTTCTCATCTTTTTATGGTTAATAACACTTTGATTTTTTCTTTCTTTCTATTTTTAATAAAGGAATGCACTCCTATAGCCCACTAAAATGAGTTCATCAATGTATTTGTAATTCATGTATTATTTATCCCTAAGTCCTAACCCTTCATAAATAAATGAGCGATCACGGAAGATGAGGGGATAGAGCGCAGCTTGTTATGATAAGAATAGAAGAGAGGATAATATATAGTCTCATATGACCAAATAATTTTTACCATTTCTTGAGATGTTATAAAAAACCAAAAGCACGGAAACACAAGGATCCTGAATCCTGCTCCTATATTTGCAGAAAAAAGATTCTCACCCCTCTAATTTAGGATGTTCGTTAACCGAATCAAATTGCGGCAATCGAACTGAAAAATCGATAATCGAATAAATCAAAAATTGAAAAATCAAAAACAAAAAAAAAATCGCAAATTTTAATTGGATTGGATTGATTTTCGGATTGGTTGATGAAAATCTATCCAATCCAAACCGATTCAATATATTAATTTCTCTCTACCTACTTGGGCATTTCCCCAATCATAGCCCAAAATTTTCTAAACTTGTTCTGGAATGAACATTAATGTCTAGCAGAATAGCTAGTATTTGTATCTCCGGAGCTTATAGTAAAGATGACAGACAATGATGTTATAAAAAAAAAAAAAAAAGATGACAGGCAATGAAAAGTCTTGTACCTTAGTCCAAAGTTCGATGGTATGAACAAGGAGTGTGTGTGAGTCACCTTCGATAGATAGGATGTGCTCTGGGCACAAGTATTGTATCCATGGTGGCCAGAATAGGTTATCAGATGAGTTCCTAGATTAGTCATGAGATGATCTCCTTTGTTAGCTATAAGGGATTATATATAGATGAATGCACAAGTGGATAGTTTGCAGGTGACTTAATGACATGATGCAATGCTTAATGAGTGGTTATTGGTAATGGATGGAAGTTATGGGAGAGTGATGGAATAAGATGCTCCATGTAGTGGGGATAGAAAGTGGATACCACATAAGTGGTCCATAACAAAACTCAAGATCCATTAACCCATCAACTAAACCCAAGAAAGAACCTAGTCACATCTTATCAACAAAATTTCATCCGTGTAGAGCTTCATATCTCATTGCCCAAAAAAAAATTATATTATCATTTACTGATGCTTTTGTATTTCAATTTTTTTTTACAAAGCCAATATATACAAAAGATGTTATTTGTGTAAATACAAGGTATGTTTTGATGATAATAAAATGACAACAACAAAAAGAGAAGAGCTTTGATCAAGAGCAAAAAGCATCAACCGTATGTGAATATTGAAGATGTATGATGTAGTCACACAAGAAGAGTAATGTCATATCAAAGTGGCAAGATCATTGGATCAAGAGCAACAAGGAATAATTAGAAGAACAACACCAAGATCAAAGATAACTAACCATGGGCAACTTATAAGAGAATCTCAATATCATAACTATGGTGAAAAATGATCAAAACCAACAAAGTGCCAAACATTGTCATATTCAACAAGTCAAAGCATCAAGTTCAAGAAGAGATTCAAGACACAAGACATAAAGCTAAGTCTAAAATCATATTTGGAATATATCTTTAGGACTTAGAATATATGTGAAGGTATATGGTAGATTGCATTGCATGAACTCAAAGTTTTTCTCAAAGTAAACGTGTTTTTCAAATTGCATAATCATAATCTTTATATACTTGAAAGAAATTTGAAAAATCCAAGGAAAATATCCTTGACATATTTTATAACTTCAAAACATATTTATCTAGTCAAGATCTTTCACAAAAAGTGGTTGGAAGCAAGCTAGAACACATTTGAACCTAAAATTTGTTGCTTAATTTTTCTTCTTCCTTCCATACAACTTTTAGTATCTAAGATGATGTATTTGGATCTTGTGTTCTTCATAAAAGTTGTAGATCTTTCTTTTATCTTTCCAACGAGACCAAGATCACATCAATCCGACAAGTATAACTCAAGTTATGCCCAAAATACGAAACAGTGTTCTTGTTGTCAATAAAGTATTCGAATACCTGATGCAGTTTCGAATACCTGATGAAGTATTCGAATACCACACGAAAAGTATTCGAATACTTTTTGGGCAGAAGGCCTATAACGGCTATAAAAGGCTATAAATGAAGTATTCGAATACCACACGAAAAGTATTCGAATACTTACTGGGCAGAATGCATAAAACGGCTATAAACGGCTAGTTTTAAATGAAAACACTATAAATACATTCCTTATGACCCTAAAACGTATAGATTACTATTCCTACACATCTTAAGGATGATTTGAGAGCTTCTACACTATCATTTGCATATTCTTTTATATCTTTCAAAGATCAAATATATTTGAGCTCATATCTTGAAAATCCATATACCCATAGTGCTTCAAGTTGTATATCCACACTTTGAGAGTGTATATTCATTTTCTAATATTTCCCTTCTTGTATTCTTGAGTTGAAAGGGTTCTGAGACCCATTATTTAAGAGGTAGCCAAATATCTAAGTAAATTTGGAGTGAATTATAAGGTTACCAAGTACCCGTAAACTTGGAGATTGAAAGGTACCCAAGATCCCGAAATCTTGGAAGATTGTAAAGGTTTGTCAAGCACCCGGGAAGTTTGACCATTAGTGAAAGAGTTGATCGAGCGGCTTCAGTCTGGACGTAGGTCACAAGTGGTGGTGACCGAACTAGGATATATTATGTTAGCAATTCTCTAAACTCTAAACTCATTATTTCTAACACTTTAATTGCTTCTTTGATATGTTGTATGTGCCAGTATAAGTTCTATAATTGTGATACATTATATGTTATGGATTCTTTGAATGCATTGATTAGTTTTTCATATGTCAAAGTCTTGAAATGATTATTTAGAAACTAGAAGGGAGCTTTTGCGAAAATCTTGTAATACTCAATTCACCCCCCTCTTGAGTATGGAAGCCACATTTCTAACAATTTGCATAATAATCATGAAACAAATTTTAAGATTTTCAAAAAATTGGAAACCGATCCAATCCAAACTAAAAAAAATTGGATTGGGTCGAATTTGAAAAAAAATTCAAACCGAATAGATGATTATATTATCAAACCGAAGGAATTGAATCATGTGATTTTTTCTTCTAAAACCAATTTAATACAGGCGTGCGAACACCTAACTCATCAGCATGTTAGTTTGATTCAGTGGAAACAAAGGAAAGATTTGAAAAGACTGTGCGAGGCGATGGGGTCTTCATCATTGAACCAATTGGTGCTATTCTAAGATTAATGGAGGAGCAGATCAGTTGTTAAAAACCAACTTCTAGCAAAATTGCCACCCTCTTTCGAATATGTAACTCGTAATTCGAAATAATTTGAACTGCAAATACCATAAATATAATTATCCTGATAATATATATGGCTGCAAAGTCATTAACGAGGTTATAAATTTAAATCTGTGTCATTATTGTATAAAAAAATAATAATATATGGCTACCATAATGTAACGCCAAGCTTGCTGGCTCCATTCGACCATCTGTTTCTTTCTTTGCTCTTTGGTGGTATTTAACCTGCCACGTGAATCCAAATTATGTGGCGGTACTAATATAAACAAGGAATTGCTATATTAAACTAGTTATGTTACCTATATTAACTTACTTAAATTACAAACTATATAATTTTGCATTAAAACGAAAATAATAAAGTGAATTTACTTTTAAATTTTAGTGAACTCATTAGAAAAAAAGTAAAAAATGAAATGGAATAGAATAATATGATCAGAGGTGTAAATGAGTCAGACCTAATAGGTGCCTACGACTTAACTTACATCAAGTCAGACTATGCCTATCACATATAGTCAAATATAACGTGTTAGGCCAAATAAAAAATCTATTTAAAAAGCAGGTTATATATATTTTTTTTTTACAAGTCGAGCCAATAAATATTTATACCGACCTATATCATATTATTTATTTTAAATAAAATAAATTATTATTTTAAGAATTTTGAATAATAAAATAATATTATTTAAATTATTTTTTTTATTATTGAATATCTAATAGATTTAAACAGGCTAATAGACCTAGGCCAATACTTTTATTTTTGAAATATAAACCAGATCAAACTTATAATTTGAGCCTATACAAAACTAACAGATCAGATTAAGTCTAAAGTATTTTACACAAATCTAATTTCTTTGATAAAACCTAACTCAATCTAACCTATTTACATCGCTAATTGTAACATCTTTTCATGCCTACTTTATATATTTATCTCTATCACCATAATCTCAATTATTGAAAAGAAGCAGGTAGAGTGCATAATATGGGAAATTTTTCTGTATTTTATATAAAAAAAAAATTTGGATTCGTTTTTTGTCATGTCTCATGTCAAGCACACACAAATCAAGTGTGGGTTCCACGCTTAAAAAAAAAGTCAAACCAAAATCAGGATACTGCGCCGTATCCTCAATATACGTTGTCGGATCCTTATTGCAAAAATAAACAGTGTCATTCCTGCAGCATGATTCTTATATTTCCCTTTTTTTTTACCACATTTCTATAAATATTTTCTCTATCTTTTCTCCGTAACAACAGCAAAAAACTTTTTTATACCGAAAAAGCAGAAACAGAAAACCCGATATTCTATCCCAAATAAATTGCCTTTGTTTGTGGGAGCATAAAGTTGTGGTCTTTCCCACGGCTTCGTGTTTCAATGGCTCTTCAGCTTCATGTTCCTGGTTGTTTTGGGCGCTTCAACTCAAGCGTGTGCATGCTGCCTGCACGAAAAGTGCATACCTTTGCTACTCTGTCACAGCCCCGAAGCGAAGCAGTGAACTGGGTTGAAGCCACTTCCAGTTTCTTCGAACAAGACAAACGACCCATCATGTTGTTTGACGGTAATCAAGGCTCAGTGGTCCCTTTTACTTCGAATTTCCGTCATACTACATGGAACATATGATTCTGCAATCCAAGTGTTTGATAAAAAATTTTGCTTGTGACACACACAGGGGTATGCAACTTGTGTAACGGCGGTGTAAAGTTCGTTCGTGATAACGATCGAAACAAGTAAAATATCTATCTCCTTTTCCTCATGCTTTTGATTATTTTCACAGTAATATTCATTCTCCTAAATCAATGAGAATGAAATCGCGCCTATATGTATATATATTGAAGTTGTTTTGTTTGTTGCTACCCTGATAGAAAGATAACGAGGTCTTAGATATGTAGTGTTAGTTTCAGTAAACTTGGGATTCTTTGATTTGGTTAAATGAAGAGTAAATAACTTTTGGTTACCTAACAAAAAACCCTGTCTTCACTTTGGTCTCTTAAAAAAAAATTAGTTAGCTGGTCCCTAACAAATTCAAAGTGGACTAATATGAGTCTTTCTTGAAATTGTGAGGGACCACGATTTCAACTAAATGGGTCCACTTTAAATTTATTAGGGACTGACTAAGTTTTTTTTGTAAGGAACTAAAGTGGAGACCGTGTTTTTTGTCAGGGACCAAAAATGGTATTTACACTTAAATGAAAAAACAACTTGATCAATCATTTCGTTTCTTTTATATTTTGTTGGGGGTTGACTTGACAGGACAATTAGATATGAACCCCTTCAGAGTGAAGCGGGTAAAATGCTACTTAGGAGGTCAGGAAGAGCTCCTGATGATATTTCAAGTGTTGTACTTGTTGAAAACGGCAGGTATGTGTATTGAAGGTTAAAAAATAACTGTTTTTGTTTTGAGACCAGAAATTTTCAGGCTATTAGCATCTTTCTCTAATAGTCCATTCGGTTGTAAAGAGCTGCTAGGAAATATAATTTTCTGTTAAATTCCATCCAAATAAGATCCAATTTCTGTTAAATTATCCATTATCTTCTCAACCGAATGGATTAACTATAACATTTGTGAGGAAAGAAGAAATTTATGATTGCAAATTACAAAAAAGAAGAATTAGCTATGAAACGTATGACTTCCTGGTTGATTCTAGATCGTACATAAAGTCAGAAGCTGTTCTGAAGATCATGGAATACATAGACTTGCCCTTTCCCCAGCTAGGATTTCTTCTTCAATTTGTGCCTCTGTAAGTAGCATTTTGTCTAGTCATGTTATTTTATTGCTGAAGGGGAACATGCTTGATGATATATGCCATGAATGACTGCAGGTTTGTCAGGGATTTTGTTTATGACAATGTTGCAAACAATCGTTACATGATTTTTGGTCGCTCTGAAGCATGTGAATTATAGAAGCATCATCTTGGCATGAATACTGGTGATAACAGTAATGTCCTAAGTTCAAAAACAAGGATTCTTTCTTGTTGAAGTCCGATCAAGTTGTCCTAAATCTTTCAGTTGAAGTCTCTGTGTACTGTATAGTATCCTGTTTTACCTTGATAAATTAAATGTTTTATTAGATATAAGAGAGCGTAGACTATCAATTCATGACAATATTTTCTGTCCCAAATGATTTTGCAATTTCAATGTCAATTCTGTCAGTAGACACTCCTTTTTTTTTTCTTCTTCTTCTTTTGGCCATGCTTGTTTAACTGTTTCTAATTACACTGAATTCTGTCAACCTTGCCTCAGATGTTTTTCTCTGAAGCAAAGATCCTCAAATTTTCCCGAAAGTGTTCTTTGTGTCAAATTTCTGTTCACGGTGACTTATACTTCTGTTAGGATTCTGTTAAGCTGTTTGAAAACATTAAGCTGTTACATTATTCCCTTTGAGATTTATTATTTTTCAGTTGTTTTTCGTCGGTTATCCAGGAATCATTACACTTAAGCAACGCAGCTAGTTGAATTGATTTGGTAGTAAGGGTTGTAAAGGAAAAAATGAAAAGGACAAAACCCTTAAAATGTCTTTAACTTCTAAGTAGGCAGAAGAACTAAGAATTGTAAAATCTGTGCAGTAAATTTATTATTTATGTAACTACCCAAAAAAGTATATCACTACATTTCTCTATTTTCTGCTTTAACAAAGAAATAAATTAAAGCAAAGCCTTGACTTCTCTTGCTATTGCATGAAGAACTTTATATTCCACCAAGAAAACAAAAATGAACTATTCACTGATGGATCTAGTTTTTATGAATTCTACATACAGCTGATTCTGGAAGTAGAAAACAATTTTTTTTTCAATAAATGATAATTAATACACTCAAACACTATTTCACATGGTTCGTTAAATTAGGAGGTCAGCATTCGAGAATTTTCTCTATCCATATAGGAAGCCAAGTAGACACATGTAAGGGTGTTATATCATCTCATGTACTGGAATTTGGTTGTGTTTCTTCTGGATAGAGCACTAATAAACATGTACCTGGAAAGAAGAAAGAGTTTCAAACCATAATTCAATGAAGCAGTTGTAATCATGCATGTGTCTTGAGCAAAAGAAATTGAAGCGGTTTTCTATGTGTCTGTATGTCAGGGAAGAAACATTGTATATACACGGGAAGATTTTGGATTTGTTTATGCAGCTTGAACAGGCCGTGGAATCAGAACCATTCATCTTGGATAACTCTCTGGGAAGGAAAATTTCTGTTGTGACTTTCCTACATACAGCTTAGCTAGGCCAGATGCATATCTGTCAAATTAGCCATTGCATCAGGTTCAGGGAGGTTAGCCAAGGCAGAAAAATTTCCATTGTAATAATTGACAAGAAAGTAAATTATAATTATTTTTACCCTGTAAGTAAGATGATCACTGATATGACTAGGAAGAAATATTGATAGCATTTGTACTTGGATTTACGTTTAACATCATATCCTGGAGGTATATATTTGCGGTTTACATATCCATATTGAGGGCGCATTAAAAGAACAAAACCTAGGAAAAATCCTGCAATGAATCCTCCTATATGAGCTGAATTGTCCACATGGGGTAGAAATCCAACGGCCAAATTTAGGCCAATAATGACCAATAGACTTATAAGAGCTGCACACTGAAGTAAGCAATGTGTTAATTAAAATTAGGGTTCCATTTTTCTGCAACCGTGTTAGAAAAATTTATCTGCTACAAACATATATTCACCAAGATCCGACATCAAATCCTCTTTTTCTTTTAAAAAAAAAAATATTCAAGATCCGACCGAATCTTGATAGACAAAGTATTTCTGCCGTAGAAGCAAAAATACTTTAGCCTTAAAATTATTGTCCTTAACAGACACATTCCATATTTTTGCATAATACAAAATTTCATGTGAGACACAAGGTGAACATGAGTTACCTTGTTTGCATAGATTGTCCAGTTTGTTAGAAGTTCAGAAAGCATGGCACCCAGAAGTCCAAAAAGTGCACCGGATGCGCCAACAGAGATGGTATTTACTGTTGCGGATTCTTTCAAATCCAAAATAGATAACAAACTTCCACCGAAACCAGAAAGGATATATAATAATCCAATTCTCACTGCCAAATCCAAGAGATTACAAATCAACCAAAGAAGATCAAATGCGAAGTTTCAATGTGCAAAATCTCAGTAGAAGAATGCTTACAAAATCCGAATTCCTTCTCGAGCCGAACTCCTACAAATAGAAGACTAAACATATTGGCAAGTAGATGTACAACTCCAGCGTGAAGAAACATGCAGGAAAAGAAACGCCACGCTTCATTGTCATTCACCACTAGGTTCTTTTCAAGAGCTCCTAATTTCCGCAGCCTGTACAAAGTTAATACAATGATGGATCATAACCCCAAAATGTTAAATGAATGAACAAAAGATGATGAAAGAAACTTGACATTGTTATTTTTCTTTCTTTCCAATGCACGTAGCCATTTCCATTTCCATTTCATTTTCATTGTTTTTTGATAAACTAAAGATATTCTCCACGGCAGGCAATTTTGTTCTAGGTGGATACAGGATTAAGGCTTTAAACTCATTCCAAAGATAATATTGAAAATGATCGAACACATGCTCTCACCTCATCTGCTCAGTTCCTATGCGTCAACTAAACTACCATCGTTTGTTATTTTGTTTTCATTTTCAACTATAGAAATATGCAAAGTTAAGGAGAGAGAACAAATAGTAATTAATTAGATTGAATCCTTAATGAGAGAATGATTGTTCGACATTACTTATCCTTAATGATGAACGTAAAACTTTTTTGAGAGAGAGAGAGAGAGAGAGGAGATATTCTCACGTGCGGGTAGCAGGTCCAAGGAGAGGGTTTTCCCTGAAGGGTTGGAAAGAGAACCTGCCCAGATATTCGGAGAAAAGACAAACATCTTTATTCAAGTACGAAGGGCAATCATTGAGATACATGCTATATACGAACATTGCAACATTCGCCAAAAAAAAGAGTGGCACGAGCCATGGGGTCCACTGACTGGGCGTTGGCGGGTGGAAAGAAGGTGGTGGCGGCGGGGGGTAGCGGGCCGCCTCAATGTCGGAAGATTGCGGCGGCTTCCTCCCCATGCGCTCCGGCGGTGACTGTATGTGTGGTTGTGATTGCAACAAAAACAGAGACAGGGACAGAGACACAGACACAGAAATAGGATGTTGTGTTGGCAAATGCAAAAGAACGGGGCGAACCTGCCTTCGTTTGGGTTGGCTAGCCTAGCGGTTAAATTAGGTAACTCATCTTTCCCCCTTAATAGGGTTTTTTTATTTTTTTTTTATTTTTTTTTTGTAATGAGTAATTTTTGTTGTATACAATTATACAATACATTAAACAAAAAACCCATTTGCATCTTGTTCTGATTTGGTGACACATATATCATCGATATATTAATGTTAGATCTAGATGCTTTCTCTCAATTACCTGCTGAAAATATACTTTAGAAAATAATAGCATAGTCAACTGACAGTGTATCTGATATAATCAGTTAGGATTACAACTGATATATTCAGTTATAATTGTTTGATGACAGTTATATTCTGTTACCAATGCTTAAGCATTTAGTGAGTAGAATAGCTTAGTATATATAGCTGGCACTTGTAATACTCAATAACTAAGTTTTCATTTTCTCAATATACAAGATTACATTTTCAGTTTCTTTCTCTGAATTCTGATACCTTTCATGGTATCAGAGCTATCTTGATCCATGGAGACACTCGATTCTCAACCTTCCGCTACGCAGACCCAACCTGCAACTTCTCAGCCTTCTCTCCAACCTTCAATTCACTATTTTTCGAATCCTGTTTCGATCAAGCTTGGTGAAGATAATTTTCTTCCCTGGAGACAGCAAGCTCTAGCTACAATCAAGGGGTTCAAACTCCAGAAGTTTATCACAGTTAATAATGAAGCCGCAAGAATAGAGTATGGAGATGATCTATGGGAACAACAAGACCAATTACTGATGTCTTGGCTGTTGGCCTCTATGTCTGACTCGACACACACAAAGATAGTTGGATGCAGAAACTCTTGTGAAATCTGGCAAAATCTTGAGGAGTTCTTTACCTCACACACAAAAGCCAAGATCAAGCAATTCAAGGTTCAGCTCAAGAATATGAAGAAAGAAGGAAGTATCTCCAAATACTTACTTCAAATCAAGAAAATTGTTGATTCTCTCATTGCTGTAGGTTCCAAAGTTTCTACTAAAGATCATATTGAAGCTATACTTGATGGCTTAGGTGAGGATTATGATCCTTTTATAATTTCTGTCACTTCAATAACTGACTCTTATTCTGTTAATGAGATGGAAGCCTTACTTATGGCTCAAGAAGATGGGATTGAAAAGCATAGAAAGACAGAAGGCTTGTCACTACAAGCAAATATGGCACAGATGCAATTCCAAAGATCGAATAACCAGTACAATGGTTCAAGCAGAGGAAATTTCTTTAATCCAAGAGGCAGAAACTATAGAGGCTGGTTCAACTCAGGAGGCAGAAGTTACAGAGGCAGATTCAATTAAGGAGGCAGATTTAATCAATATAGCGCAAATAGAAGATCTCAATGTCAGGTATGTGGCAAGTTTGGCCATATGGGATGGGAGTGCCATCATCGTTTTTTTGAAGATTACCCAAACCCGTTTTCAACTGGCCAACAAAATAACAGCAACCAGAAACTTCATGCAAATGTTGCTATAGCTGGTTCTAGTCAAACTTCTCAACAATTCAAGAATGATGATGTGCCAGATTCGTACTCAGCGTTTTGGTATCCTGATTCTGGAGCTACGAACCATTTCACACCAGATGCATCTAATCTTCTTGCAAGATCAGATTACAAAGGACAAGAGTCAATGCAAATAGGTAATGGTTCTAATTTGAATATACAGCACATAGGTCATTCCATTCTTCACTCTCCTTTCAATTCTTTATCTTTTACCTTGTCCAATCTGCTACATGTCCCGAGTTTGTCCAAAAATTTGTTAAGTGTTTCACAGTTTGCAAAAGAACACAATGTATTCTTTGAATTTCATGCTAACTCTTGTTTTGTCAAATCTCAGGTTACCAAGGAGATTCTTCTCCAAGGAACTCTTAGAAATGGACTATATGCCTTTGATGGTGCCAAAGTTCTCAAGAAAAACAATTTGTCAACTTTCAATTCTGTTCCTTCTGTTTTGTATACACAGACCGTAAACAATAAGTCAGTTTTAGATTTGTGGCACAGTAGACTAGGACATGCTTCTTTCAAAACTGTAAAAGCTGTCCTCAATCATTGTAAAGTTTCATTTGAAAATAAAATGGATGCCATCATTTGTGATGCTTGCTGTAAAGGAAAAATGCATCAACTTCCATTTCAATTGTCTACTTCCACCTATCATCAGCCTCTTGAATTGATCTTTTCTGATATATGGGGACCAGCTCCCATTGATAGCTCATATGGCTCCAAATATTACATTTCATTTGTTGATGCCTTTAGTAGATATACCTGGATCTACCCTTTGAAAACCAGATCTCAAACTTTTGCTGTATTCAACCAATTTAAAACAATGGCTGAATTACAACTTGGAACCAAAATAAAAGCTGTCCAAACGGATAATGGCAAGGAGTATTTAAAACTCACTCCTCTTCTTCAAAGTCTTGGTATCATCCATCGCTTGACATGTCCATATGCTCATCAGCAAAATGGTACACCCGAAAGAAAACATAGGCATATTGTTGATACTGCCTTGACTATTATGGCAGCATCCTCCATTCCACTCAAGTATTGGGAAGATGCCTTTATCTCTGCCACCTTTATTATTAACAGGCTGCCATCCCCAACTTTAAACAATGTCTCTCCTTTTGAAATTCTATTTCACCAATGTCCAGATTACTCCCTTCTAAAACCCTTTGGATGTGCTTGTTATCCATACCTCAGACCTTTCAATAAACACAAATTTGATTACAGATCCGATCGGTGCACATTCTTAGGTTACTGCACATCTCATAGAGGCTACAAATGCCTCACTACTTCAGGAAAAGTAGTGTTCTCTCGACATGTCCTTTTCAATGAGTTACTTTTTCCTTTTAAAACTCCCAAACTTAACCCAATCCCTGTCTCTACTCCAGTGTCACATGTGTCTGTCCCCTTTATTCCCACAACCCACATTACACCTCATCCAACAACCCGTGACCATAGTGCTGTCAATTCAACTAACACCATTAACACTATTACATTGCCTGCACCTTCTTTGCCTTTGGTTTCTTCTGTGTGCAGAATCACTCTACAGAATACTCAACCAACTTCTTCTCACTTTGATGCTCCTCTTGACGCACCTGCAACACCTATAGAACCTATTACTGATTTACCTGCATCATCATCTACTGCCAACAACAATAGACATTCCATGGTTACTCGAGCCAAGGCTGGCATCTTCAAACCAAAAGCACTTCTCACTTCCATCGAACCTACTTCTACTGCTCAAGCCATTTCTCAACCACACTGGTTCTAAGCAATGAAGGATGAATTTAGTGCTATTCTTTGCAACAACACATGGAAGCTTGTCTCTCTTCCTCAAGGCAGATCACCTATTGGATGCAAATGGGTTTTTAGAACAAAATACAATCCAGATGGCTCCATTTTCAAATATAAGGCTAGACTTGTGGCCAAGGGATTCCATCAAGTTGAAGGCTTTGATTATGCAGAAACCTTCAGCCCTGTAGTCAAGCCAACCACCATTAGAGTTGTTCTCACTATTGCTCTTGCTCGAAGTTGGCCTATACATCAACTTGATGTGAATAATGTCTTTCTAAATGGTGAGCTCTCTGAAGAAGTCTACATGCAACAGCCTCCAGGATTTGCTACTCCAAACACACAGCTTGTTTGTCGACTTACTAAAGCTCTGTATGGACTTAAACAAGCTCAAAGAGCTTGGTTTGCAAAACTCAGCTCTACCTTAACTAATTTGGGATTCACTTCTACCAAATGTGATAGTTCTTTATTTGTTTCTTATGCCTTTTCTGCCACTACCTTTGTTCTTGTATATGTTGATGATATCTTGGTCACAGGATCACATCCCCAAGTAATCTCTTCCCTTATTAAAGATCTGAATGCTGCCTTCTCTCTCAAAGATCTTGGTCAATTGCACTATATTCTTGGAATTGAAGCTCATAAATCCTCCACTGGACATCTGCATCTCTCTCAGTCCAAGTATGTCACTGACCTTTTGAAGAAAGCTAATATGACAGATTGTAAGCCCATGCCTTCTCCAATGATTTATGGTCAACGTTTATCCTCCAAGGATGGTTCAGCCTTTCATGATCCTTCCTTGTATCGATCTATAGTGGGTGCTCTTCAGTATGCAACCATCACTCGTCCAGAAATAACATTCTTAGTCAATAAAGTCTGCCAATTTATGCACTGCCCCCTTGACACACATTGGAAGGCTGTAAAGCGAATTCTTCGTTACTTAAGTGGCACACTCTCTCATGGCCTTCACATTGGTCCATCTTCTCACTTCCATCTCTCATCCTTTTGTGATAGTGATTGGGGATCCGATCCTGATGACTGCAAATCTACTTCTGGAATTTGTATATTCCTTGGTGGCAACCTGATATCGTGGTCCTCCAAGAAGCAATCAGTTGTCAGCCGCTCCAGTACAGAGGCAGAATATCGCTGCCTTGCTTCCACCATCACTGAAGTCATGTGGATACGATCTCTTCTGAGTGAGCTACATATTGGACTGATCAAGACTCCAACAATTTACTGTGACAACCTTAGCACAGTCCTTCTTAGTGCTAATCCCCTACAAAACATTTTGAACTTGATCTTCATTTTGTACGTGAGAAAGTCATCAACAAGCTTGTTTCAGTTCATCATGTCCCAGCTGTTCATCAACTTGCAGATGGCCTCACTAAAGCTATATCCAACACTTTTTTCTCTGATTTTCGAACCAAGCTTCGTGTGTCAAAAAGATTGACCACTTCGCTTGAGGGGGGATGACAGTGTATCTGATATAATCAGTTAGGATTGCAACTGATATATTCAGTTATAACTGTTTGATGACAGTTATATTCTGTTACCAATGCTTAAGCATTTAGTGAGTAGAATAGCTTAGTATATATAGCTGGCACTTGTAATACTCAATAACTAAGTTTTCATTTTCTCAATATACAAGATTACATTTTCAGTTTCTTTCTCTGAATTCTGATACCTTTCATCAACTAAAAGAGAAAGGGTTTAATGTGTATATACTTGATGAATTAACTCTTTATTTATAGATGATTATCTGAGAGAAATAAACTTTTAGGTCTCTTAAAAATATTTGGGATTTAGTTCTTGATCTATTGTTATCATAATAGAATTAGTATAATGAGTTTGGTGTTTGTCATTTTAAATCACATAAGTTATGTCATTTTAGGAGAGAGATAGACACATAAAAACGGAAATCATGGGAGAGAGAAAGTGAGTGGTTTTTTTAATTTAAAATTCAAATTTTCTGTGTCTATATCTCTCTTGAAATGACATAACTTTCTGTCATTTAAAATGACAAACACTTTTTTCTAGTATAATTTAAAAAATATTTTCTTAATTTTACTCTTAGCAATTTATGTCAGGTGGATAACACATCTGAATATCTATTTCAAGACAATAATAAATTGGTTGCAAAATAAGGACAACTCAAACGTAGGACATGAATTGAATAGCTTAATTACATTGGATTTCAATTTTTTTATACAGTAAACGAAAATTTTCTCATGTTATAAATATATTTTGTGTAGAGAAAAAAAACAAAAGAAAATATTATACGAACACAATTACATTTAACAATTCTCCTACACGAGGAAATGTTTTCTCAATTACATTTAACACTTGACCTTTATTTGAACAAAATTACTTTCGATAATATTGTCAAATATAACTCTAATTCTTCTGATAGTAACTCTTCAATTTTACACAGATTATTCAATAACCACACAACAATCAATCTAATAAAAAGGTAATGATCTAAAAATAAAAATTAAAACCCAATAAGTACTTATGAAAACAAGCTTAATCAATGTTGTCTCTCAATTCAGGAAGAGCTACTTGAGCAAGCACTTGAGAGCTGGTTTAGTGTGGGTGGCTGTTCCGTGAGCATTATTGCAGAAGGAGAAAGCCTTCTGGCCAGCAACTAAAGATGATATATAAACACGATCAAACACAATGTTGGAGCAGCCCACATTTTGGTCGCAGCTCAAATTGATCACCTCGCTCGTCAATGATGTTCCAACTATTCCTCTGTAAGTTACATCACTCACCTTCACCCCTTGAGTCTACTCATAATAATTCATGCAAAAAATAGTACATAAAAAAAGCTGTTACTTAAAGTTGTAAAAAAATATAACTACAAAAAATACACTTCTCATTTTCGTCTCTTACAAGAAGAAAGTCAACTTTTGGTCTCTTTACAATTCCAGTTCTTTGAAAATATGGTTCCTTAGAAATGTAATAAAGACCCAATTTAATCTTTCAAAAAGAATTAATATGATTTTTTTTAGAGGACGAAAGTGAGGACCGTATTTTTTGTTAGAGACCCAAAATAGACTTTACTCAAAAAAATAAATAACTTTTCTGAGTAAATAAGTTGGTATATATGTTATCTTATTGTTTTACCTTGTTTTGGCAGTCCACTTTGTCAGGGCAATAAAACTGGTCAATGATTATGGGGCTATTGGCTCGAACAAACCTAATCTTTTCAAACGAGATCCTCCTAGCAAATCCAGATCCACCCTATATTGTAAAATACAATTGAAAGGTTATATTTAGAATAATAATTTACATAACTTATCTAACCAAGATTGCAAGCAAAACATCTTATAATAATAGATTTTTCAACCATGAATTAATTGGCGTTGTTTTTTATTTGCTCAATTACCTGCACTGTCTTAATCCTTACTCCAGTTAATGTTTCAGTCAAAGTGCAATTCTCAACATGCACGTCTTCTACAATGTCGTTCTCTCCACTTATTCCCAATGATCCAATGCTACAAAAATGTGATTCACATCATCATGATCAGAGAAAATAGAAAGAAAAAAAAAGCAACATGTACTCGAAATAGGGATTTGCAAAATAATAAAAAATTGAACCAAAACATGAACCGAACTGAACTGCATTTAAAATAATCAATTTTTAAAAACCGATTCATAAACTGAACCAGTTTGTAAAAAACCAGTTCATGAACCAAACTGGGTTTTAGAACCAGTTTAAGAACCGAACCTATTTTCGAACCGAATCGTTTTTGAACCGAACCAAATTGATTTTTATAACTATATTTTTAAAATTTCTAATTTTTTATTCTTTTCAAAATAGAGTCGACCCGAACCGGTCCCGAACCGAACCGAATCACTTCCAAACCGAACCAGTTTTGAATCGAACCGAATCATTTTCGAATCGAACGATTTAAACCAATTCAGTTCGATTTTTCAAAAAATTCGGTTCGGTTCGACCCATGCAAATCCCTAACTCGAAGGGAAGTTGGAAGTTTCCTCCGATTAATGGAGCACTTTAAAAATCTAAACTTATTTTCATTAGAAAGGTGTGTGTTTTGTTGAAGCCAAGCAGAAGCAAATGGATGCTAATTACTAAAGTACCAACCTGATACCATGGCCTGGACCACATGTTATACCACTTATTTTGATCAAGGAGGATCCACCACTAATAGCAATGCAATCATCACCTGTAATTAATTAAGACAGAAACCACATATGTCCTTTTTTTGTTTACCAGAAAACACAATATATTGAAAGATTCTACTAAAATTTTAGAATGTCACGCTCTGACATGCAGATCTAAAGTTAATTAATTACCTGTTGCAATGGTAGAATTAAGTATTTGAATGCTTCTTGAGCCAGAAATGTCAATGCCATCGGTATTAGGGCTTGTTCCAGGAGCAATTAAACGGAGGTTAGAAATGATGCCATTCTTGCAACTTGTTAGAGTCATGTGGCTTCTTGCGGGATTAACACTTGTATATCCTTTGAATTGAAAGCGATAGCATCTATTGAGTGTTAATGCCTATACATCCACACAAAAAACAAAAAAACAAATATAAATCTTTGATATGTGCTCTTGTATATAGTGTTTATGCTCTTTCTTTTATGTGATCAAATCCGTATGGTAGAAATATGTGAGAAAGCAGTGTTAATTTTGCATTAGTTTTTGTTAATTAGTCTAGTTTATATCTTTCCATATGTAATCAGCATTGAGAGACTAAAACCTACTGATAACGTGTGTGTCAAGGAATATGTAAAAAGTTGATAGATTAAGATTTAATTAGTTTATCTCAGATCGCCTTTTCGATGATAAAAGTCTTTGGGTTCGAACTTCTAAGTCATCCTAACTTAACGGAAAATGAAAGTTGCACACACTTTTTGTTTTTTGTAAGATTTAAATTAATCTTTACGCAGGCAGCGAAGGAGTTGGTGCAAAAAAAGTGTGGAAACAGCGGGGGAAAGATTCGTGTACAAATTTTTTTTACAAATTACACTTAGTATGACCGGTCATACACTATTGATTGGAATATAACCGGTCATACTTAGTGTAGTTTGTAAGAATTTGTAAACAAAAAGTTTGTAAATATAACTTTACCCGGAAGATTATATTTACAAACTTAAATTAATAGTGTTCAAAACTTAAAACTACTAATTAAGTAAAGGGAATGTTATATTTACAAACTTTTTGTTTACAAACTACACTATGTCTCACCGATCATACTTCAATCAAGAGTGGATGACCGATCAGACTTAGTGTAATTTGTAAAAAAAGTTTATAAACCGATCGTTCTCTTTTAAGTTAAGTAAAAGCTTCATTAGTAATTATCAATTTCTGTCTGACAAGATGAATTGAAGCACTTCTGTCTATTGATTCGTTCATGAGTATTATCCTTTCCTTTCTTTTTCTTCTTCAAAAACCAAATATTGGATGTGTTTGTTATATTATATATTTTTTTTTTGGTACAATGTTTGTTATATTATATATGCACGAAGAAATCATGACGTGAAATTTAATTTTGTTACAAATAGGCAACAGTGTAGTCGAGTGCAAGGATCAAAGCTGATACTTACTGATGGTGGACGGCACTTTGTCCCCTGAAAAGAAAAAAACTCATTAAAACATGATATATTGTAAAAGTATAAAACAGTGAATTAATAATTAATTACAAGTCAAAATAAGAGAGAAAGCAAAAGGAACTCATTAAGCTGAAAAACTAACGTAAAGAACCAATTGAACCCAAAAGCTTAAGCTGATAAGTGAGGTTACATTAATAGTTTATACTGTTCTCTAACAACAAATACATATTAACTTACTGGTGATGAATTTCCTAAGCAAGGTTGTTGCCACCAGGCAGATCCTTGAGCATCAATTGTCCCTCTTCCACTGACAATTAATCCATTGACAGATGAGAAGCCAAGCCATGTATTTGTGTGGAACCCAGCATATTCTGATTTTGTTTTAGGTGCAACAATGTTCCCTGAAAGCTGAGCTCACACACGTAGGTAAACAGATTACTTTACTATATATGAATCCATCCTTCCTTCAATGCAGTTATGCTTAAAGTTGAAACAGTTTAGTTAATGTTTGCTATGCTTTTAACCATTGATCAAGTCTCAAAAATTTCACTTAAAGAGATTGATGATGTTTAATTAATAGAGGTTTTTGTATTGCAAAATATTAATAAGTACCTGAATGTAGGTATAGTTAGATTTGCATGGACCAGTGAAGGTAACAGGCTTCAGTAAGAATGTCTTGGTTGCTGGTATGATGAGGCGAGACATATGTGACTTGCTCTGGCAGACATCATGCCATGCCTTCTGAAAGGCCTGTTGAATGTACATTTACATGAGTTGGAGGTTGAAACATATAAATATGGTTGCAGCTATATATAGTATAAGGCACAGCATAGGTTACAAATTTGCAAAAATATTGGCATAAAATTAATATTGTAAATGTGTTTGTATTTGCTAAATGTTCAATATGGAGTTGTAATCGGACATGAGACAGAGCAAATGATTCAGATTAATGTTACATATGCAGCATAATAATTTGAGGAAGCTAAAATGGTGACAGGTAATAATTAATTTACTGGGGAATCGTTGGTTTTTCCATCTCCAACTGCTCCATATTGTAACACATTGAAAGTTGGTGTGATACCCAATCCGGGAGTAACCACATTCAGAATCATTAACACGGTGAAGAAAAGCTCCTGCATGAAATTATCATTTTACATAATAAGTCTTCATTAATAATAGGGAAGAACTTTATATAAACGAATCACACTTGATCATCAAATAAGTCATTGCAACACATAATGACAGATATATTGTGTTAAAATCAAAACAGAATGTGAAAATGGTAAAATGAGACACTCTGAGATCCTGACCATTGTATTAAACATTGTAGTGCTCTTGAGCCACATGACAAGTTTTTCTCACCCTCAATGTCTATGTTATGTACCCCAATTTCTTCCTCTATATATAAGGGCTATAGCAGCAGTACTAGTGTACTTGGAAGCAGATTTTAGATGATAATTTGGCTTCCCTTAATTGATAAAATAAAACAACTTACATTCCAAGTTTATTGCTAACAATTAAGATATTAGTTTACTCTGCTAATAATGTTAGTTGGGTGCATCAATCGATACATATTATGGGGTTGTGGAAAATTAAACTCCACACAATCTAGTTGGAAAACACATGGCTTATGGAAACGAAGACCTTGTTTTCACAGTAAGCACATGAATCAAATGCACATCCCTAGGCAAAAGCACCGTACTACTAACATTTTGCAAAAAAAAATTCCTGTTCAAAGCACATCTGAAAAGTTTTGTCATAAGTAGTCAAACTCGTCACCTGACTTGACGCATTTAGTCCCGTCAATTATACTGACGCGACTTGTGTCCACATCAACAAAGTGGAGGAGTTACATGCGACATGGCATGATCCGGTAGAGTCCTGTCCCACGAATTGACGGCACCACTCGCGTCAAATAAATTGACGATATGTAATCACGTCACACAAAGTAACGACATCACCATCGTCTACTTCGCGTCATATATATTGACGAGTCTCTTCTCTTATACACGCTTCACCACCTTCTCTCTATGCTTTTCGTTTTTGCACACTTTCTCTCTAAAATTCCTCCCCCTCTCTCTCTCAAATTTCTCCCTATGCTACCCAGGTATGTTGTAGTGTTTTTTTTTTTGTAATCGTCTTTTAAATTTTGTTATTTATTTTAGTTATTAGTTATTACATTATTTGATATAACAACAAAACCCTATTGTAGAATATAATAAAAACTCTGGGTTAAATTTTCTTTTAATAAATTCCTAGTGTAGAATGTATTTTTAATTAAATAGTAAATATACCCTAAGATAGAAATAATATTATTAAGTAGTAATTAAATTATTAAATAGTTATAATTATAATTAGTATATAATTAATGTTTTAATTAAATATTAAATATAAATTAGGGTACCATAGTATAGAAACCTATTTAGTTTGGCAATTAATTAGTAATGCAATAGTTAAATAATAATTATAATAAGTGCTTGAAGTAAATAAAAATTGTAATTAAAGAAAGCCTAGGATAGAAAACATATTTAAGAAAATAATGAAGTAATAATTAAATAATAAAAATATTATAATTAGTATTTTAATTAAATATTAACCCTACGATAGAAAATCTTTTACTAAAAGAATTAATTAGTAATGCGATAATTACTTAGTAATAATAATTAGTGTTTTAACTAAATAATAAATACGATTTATGAATTTTTTTTTTGGTAAACTTAATTATGAAACTTTGAATTAGTATAGAAATAATTAAATATTAATTATAATTTAGGCTACCCTATGAAAGAAAATAATGAAGTAGTAATAAAATAATAAAATAATAATTATAATTAGTATTTTAATTAAATATTAACCCTCGGATAGAAAAATAATTACTAAAATAATTAATTAGAAATGCAATAATTACTTAGTAATTATAATTAGTGTTTTAACTAAATAATAAAAATGATTTATGAAACTCTTTTTTTTTTTTTTGGTAAACTGAATTATGAAACTTTGAATTAGTATAAAAATGATTAAATATTAATTATAATTTAGGGTACCCAATGATAGAAAATAAAGAAGTAGAAATTAAATAATAAAATAATAATTATAATTAGTATTTTAATTGCAATATTAGCCCTAGGGTAGAAAATTATTTACTAAAGTAATTAATTATAAATGCAATAATTACTTAGTAATTATTATTATTGTTTTAACTAAATAATAAAAATGTTTTATGAAACTTTTTTTTGTTGGTAAACTGAATTATGAAACGTTGAATTAGTATAGAAATAATTAAATATTAATTATAATTTAGGGTACCTTGTGATAGAAAATAATGAAATAGTAATTAAATAAAATAATAGTAATTATAATTAGTATTTTAATTAAATATTAACCATAGGATAGAAAACTATTTACTAAAATAATTATTAGTAATGCAATAATTACTTAGTAATTATAATTATTCTTTCAACTAAATAATAAAAATGATTTATGAAACTTTTTTTTTTTTGGTAAACTGAATTATGAAACTTTGTATTAGTATAGAAATGATTAAATATTAATTATAATTTAGGGTACCCTATGATAGAAAATAATGAAGTAGCAATTAAATAATAAAATTATAATTATAATTAGTATATAATTTGTATTTTAATTAAATATTAACCCTAGGATAGAAAATTATTTACTAAAACAATTAAGTAGTAATGCAATAATTACTTAGTAATTATAATTATTGTTTTAACTAAATACTAAAAAAGATTTATGAAACTTTTTGTTTTTTGGTAAACTGAATTATGAAACTTTGAATTACTATAGAAATGATTAAATATTAAATATAATTTAGGGTACCCTATGATAGAAAATAATGAAGTAGAAATTAAATAAAATAATAGTAATTATAATTAGTATATAATTAGTATTTTAATTAAATATTAACCCTAGGATAGAAAACTATTTACTAAAATAATTAATTAGTAGTGCAATAATTACTTAGTAATTATAATTACTCTTTTAACTAAAAAATAAAAATGATTTATGAAACTTTTGGTTTTATTTTTTGGTAAACTGAATTTTGAAACGTTGAATTAGTATAGAAATGATTAAATATTAATTACAATTTACGGTATCCTATGATAGAAAATAATGAAGTAGTAATTAAATAATAAAATAATAATTAAAATTAGAATATAACTAGTATTTTAATTAAATATTAATTCTAGGATAGAAAACTATATACTAAAATATTTAATTAGTAATGCAATAATTGTTAGGAATTGGCTTCCATACTCAAGGAGGGGGTGAATTGAGTATTACAAAATTTTCGCAAAAGCCCCCTTCTAGTTTCTAAATAATCATTTCAAGCAAACTTTGATATGTGGAAAGCTAATCAATACATTCAGACAATCTATAATATATAATATATCACAATTATAGAACTTATACTAGCACATACAAGATATCAAAGAAGCAATTAAAGTGCTAGAAATAAAGAGTTTAGAGGTTAGAGAATGGCTAACACAATATATCCTGGTTCGGTCACCACCACTTGTGACATACGTCCATACTGAAGCCGTTCGATCAACTCTTTCACTAATGGTCAAGCTTCACGGGTGCTTGACAAACCTTTACAATCTTCTAAGATTTCGGGTTCTTGGATACCTTTCAATCTCCAAGTTTACGGGTACTTGGTAACCTTACAATTCACTCCAAATTTACTTAGGTATTTGGCTACCTCTCAAACAATGGATCTCACAACCCTTTCAACTCAAGAATACAAGAAGGGAAATATTAGAAAATGAATATACACTCTCAAAGTGTGGATATACAACTTGAAGCACTTTGGGTATATGGATTTTCAAGATATGAGCTCAAATATATTTGATCTTTGAAAGATATGAAAGAATATGCAAATGATAGTGTAGAAGCTCTCAAATCATTCTTATGATGTGTAGGAATGGTGATCTCTACGTTTTAGGGACATAAGAAATGTATTTATAGTGTTTCCATTGAAACTAGCCGTTTATAGCCGTTTTATGCATTCTGCCCAGTAAGTATTTGAATACTTTTCGTGTGGTATTCGAATACTTCATTTATACTCGTTATAGGCTTTCTGCCCAGTAAGTATTCGAATACTTTTTGTGTGGTATTCGAATACTTCATCAGGTATTCGAATACTGCATCAGGTATTCTAATACTTTATTCATAGCAAGAACAATATTTCGTATTTTAGGCTAACTTGAGTTATACTTGTCGGATTGATGTGATCTTGGTCTCGTTGGGAAGATAAAAGAAAGATCTACAACTTTTATGAAGAACACAAGATCCAAATCCATCATATTAGATACGAAAAATTGTATGGAAGGCAGCAACAAAATTAAGCAACAAATTTTAGGTTCAAATGTGTCCTAGCTTGCTTCCAACCACTTTCTGTGAAAGATCTTGACTTGATAAATATTTTTTGAAGTTATAAAACATGGCAAAGATCTTTTTCTTGGATTTTTCAAATTTCTTTCAAGTATATAAAGATTATGATTATGTAATTTGAAAAACACGTTTACTTTGAGAAAAACTTTGAGCTCATGTAATGCAACCTACCATGTACCCTCACATATATTCTAAGTCCTAAACATATATTTCAAATATGATTTTAGACTTAGCTTTATGTCTTGGATCTTTACTTGTACTTGATGCTTTGACTTGTTGAATATGACAATGTTTGACACTTTGTTGGTTTTGATCATTTTTTACCATGGTTATGATATTGAGCTTCTCTTAGATGTTGTCCATGGTTAGTTGTCTTTGATCTTGGTGTTGCTCTTCTAATTGTTCCTTGTTGCTCTTGATCCAATGATCTTGTCACTTTGATATGACATCACTCTTCTTGTGTGGCTACATCATACATCTTCAATATCCACATATGGTTGATGCTTTTTGCTCTTGATCAAAGCTCTTCTCTTTTTGTTGATGCCATTTTGTTATCATCAAGACATACCTTGTATCTACAATAATTACTTAGTAATTATAATTATTGTTTTAACTAAATAATAAAAATGATTTATGAATTTTTTTTTTTTTTTGGTAAACTGAATTATGAAACTTTGAATTAGTATAGAAATGATTAAATATTAATTATAATTTAGGGTATCATATGATAGAAAATAATGAAGTAGTAATTAAATAATAAAATAATAATTAAAATTAGTATACAATTAGTTTTTTAATTAAATATTAACCCTAGGATAGAAAACTATTTACTAAAATAATTAATTAGTAATGCAATAATTACTTAGTAATTATAGTTATTCTTTTAACTAAATAATAAAAATGATTTATGAAACTTTTTTTTTGGTAAACTGAATTATGAAACTTTGAATTAGTATAGAAATAATTAAATATTAATTATAATTTAGGGTGTCCTACGATAGAAATCTATTTAGTAAAATAAATAATTAGTAATATAATGATGAAAAAGTAATTATATTTAGTGTTTTACGTAAAGAATAATGTTAATTAAAGAAAGGCTACAATAGAAAGACGTTTAGAAAATAATTAGTTTATTCATTAGTGTTTTAATTATTGTTTTAATAATATTTAACTATTAATTTATTTGTAAATTTGTATTGGTTACATGGCTGATCAGCACCCCCGCATTGACTCTGGTCCCAAAGAGTGGGGCGTACTCGATCACGTTGTGCAGTAGTCACACAGATCGCAAGTCGTGTGGAACGAGGGACATTTGAAGTCCCTGAGGGTGAGGTGAGCCTCAGAGGGTAGGGGCAACAAAGATGCACACAACCCAAATGACATGCCCCTGGATTTACAGCACCACCTGATGCGTGCAGGTTTTTTGCACGCGGCTCGCATGAGACGATTACCGGTATGTTTTACATTCCCTTTATGTTCCTTGATGTTCCTTCATGTGGTAATGTTTTATGGTATCTTGGATATCTCATTTGGACCCGAACTCTTGTTTCACATACATTTCCTCTCCTCTTGTCCACGGACCATGACCTAATCCTTCGACATCCAGTATGTCTTCGTTCGGATAATCATAATTAACAGCCTCGTAGTGTGGAATGGCATTCCAAAATGGTGTCACATCTGCATATACAAACATAATGGGGAGATGCGAAAACGTGGTAACTAATAAAAAATTAAAAATTATTAACACAACTCACTAACTAACCTGATGGTGGTGGAACAACTGGGATATTGGACATAGGGATACCAATTTCAAATTCAACGGGATTATCGCAATGTTCATCACCTGCATCGCTATCATTCTGATCATGGTCATTTGCCAACAAAGTATCTTCATCGTCGTCTACTTCTTCCATGTCAGGTTCAACATCTACCATATAGTCGCTTTCTTCTCCATGTGCAACGGTTGATTGTGTGGGCTGCGGAACAGACGATAATACATAATGTGACTGACTATTAAGATCCAACCCACGAATCGGTATTGATAGATCCTCTGATGTCTCAATATCGACGTATAACTCAACAAATTGAGATGTATTATTTTCGACGAATGTTGTAAGAAAAACATCTACGTCCTCATCATTAGATATTTCAATACCTGCATATTTGTGGTTTCCACACGAGACTCTACACATAACTCAAGATATTACTTGCTTTTGTTGCAGCATCAACTTCTGACGGATCTTCCCTTACAGATCCACAACAGACATGCCTTGGACAATATACATTGCTCTTTTTTCCCCTTCGAAGCTTAAACCGCCTGCACCTATACTTTTACTACATGATAATATACGAACGCATGAAATTGATCAATTGCAATAGTATTTTTATGCAAATAAAATATAAATTAAAATGCGAACCCAAAATAAGAAAATAATGACTACAAAGTACAAACACAAAGTAAAAAAAAAAAAAAAAACACATTCACAATACTCCAATGAACAATCCAATGAACGACTAAGGGGGTATATATATACAAAATGTGGGCTTCGTATGTCTCAAAAAAAATTTCACATGTGTATTTACTATTTCATTACCACGCTTGTGAGTATACTTGCTATGCTTTTTATTCACGGGTGAAACTATTTTGGATTCCCTGGTACTTTGCTTTCCTTTTTATTCACATGTGTACTTTGTTTTCGCTTTTATTCTATTTGAGATTCCACGCGGTATGGTTCTTTGTCTTTTTGCGTCGGTGGATTGGGTTCCGTCAACGTACATAATGGGAGTAGGTTCTTTTGTTTTTTGTTATTTGACGCGATTAGTACCATCAACTTATGTGACGGGACTTAACAATCTCAAGCCACGTGGCATGAAACTGCTTCACTTTGCTGACATGGACACAAGTCGCGTCAATATTGTTGACGGGACTAAATACGTCAATTCAGGTGACACGTTTGACTTCTCTAGTATGATAAAACTTTTCAGATATGTTTTGAAGAGAAGAAATTTTTGCGGAATATTAATAAGACGATGCTTTTGCCCACATCCCTACGTCTTCTTCTGTACGTACGTACCTTTGCTGCTTCATTTAGACTCAATACTCAATAATAAACTTAAGTAATAGATTAAAAGATTGCTAACTTTGATTGAAACAAAAAAAAATCCACTACTTTAAATTCAAAGCACGTTTTCTTATCTTTCCATCGGAAAGAAAATAAACTTGGTCGGTCCTATACCAATAGAAGGATAATTTCAGTGTAATAAAAAAGGTTATATTTATGCTATGTTGTAGTAAAATGATTGTCTCATATTATAAAAATAAAATTACAAGTGAGACTCACATGTAAGAGGAAAGAGAAAAGATAAATGTGAGACTCATCTCCACTTTGTGTGTGCAGGAAGCTTATTTATCTTATGCAACATAAGATAAATATAACTAAATTATCAAAAATATTTTTTTATGATACAGGAATTTGCTTATATTCTGCTCTTCTCATTTCGATTTTTGTATTATTTTTTTTTTAAATCTGGTGGGTTCCTTTTTTTGTCTCAATAGAAAAATTACTTTCTTTCCAACTGCCGGAGGAAAAGTAAAACCCTTTTATAAGATGATTTGCTAACATTCATTTATAAGATTTGAATGAAATTTTGTAAATTTTTAGTAAAATGATATGAAAGATATTACATAAAAATGAATTATCACACCAAATAATGGTAGCAGTCGGTGTATGGGAGTTGAGCGATGGTGGTGAGAACAATTCTCCCCAGTACTATTTTTGGGAGGGATTTAAAACACTATTCCTGTACTCGTCCCGAATAAGATTGCCTCCCGTGGAAAATACACTTAGTTTATCGAAAAAAATAAAATGAAGAGTAAAGCCTCTTTTAGGTCCCTAAAAAAAATATGATCCTCAATTTTGTCCCTTATAAAAAAAATCCATAGTAGTCCCTTTTTAGAGATTAAATTAAGTTTTCATTGAATTTCTGAGAGACCATATTTTCAAAGAACTAACATTATAAAATAATCAAAAATTGACTTTTTTTTATAAGAGACGAAAGTGAGAATCATATTTTTTTTGTTAGATACAAAAGAGACTTTCTTCTTAAATGAATTATCAAGAGTTAGAAGTGCGGCAAGTCCGGTTCATTTACAGGTGTAACAAAGTAATTTTTACTTCAATCCCGTGATTTTGAACATGGCTATGCGCCTATGGCTATGAGCCTATGACGATTGGTTCCGCTTTAATTTTCTATCTCAACTTTATATCAATTAGTTTACGCATCCATATTTGTTTGTTTTATATGATAAATCTGGAATCAATGATCTTAATTTAATATTAAATTAGAAATACTAGCCCAAGAGAGGCTAGAAATAAGTCAATAACCCATGTGATTGTTGGTCAATTAATGGGATGAGCAAAGCCCAAGGAATTAACAATTATACTAATATCTTAATTAATTACAATCTTTTAAAACATAAAATAATAATTCGATCACCCAACTCCAAAAAAAAAGTTGAATGTGATTGGGTTAAGTTGGTTTAAATTAATAGAATTTTTTTCCCAAAGCCCAATCTAACCTAACCCCCCACGTTACACAACAATTAAAGTTTTAATTTTACCTAAAATCAACCAAACCCATTATCAGCCCAATGCATAAAATAAGTCCATATTATTCGACGGACATACGTAACATTTTTTCTTCCTTTTTTTTTTTGGTGAACATTTTTTTTTTTTTAATTGACGAAGGTTATACTTACAACTTTTTTTTTACAACTTCTTACAATCATATCTTAATACCATTGATTTCCGCCAATCAACAGTTATCATTTATTATGAATTAATAATTAATTAATGAGTTTAATTTGCGAAAATCATAACCGTTGATTGACGAAAATCAACGGTGTTTAAATATGGTTATAAGAGGTTGTAAAAAAAAAAAGTTGTAAGTATAACCTTTTTTTTTTTTTAATTTTATGACATGATAAAAAAGATGAAAATAATCCATTGCCCGAGTCACCATCCACCTAAACATAGAAGCAAATAGCTTTTTAAAATAACCCGTTTTACATATCATTTGAATTTTCAATCTTCCTCGAAGTTACTTTCACACAAAGTGGACTTCACAAAATAAAAAAGATCTCTTTATATTAGTTGTCCATACAACCAAGGTGAGACTATATATCTCAACACGTCCCCTTACGCAAGAGACCTTTAGGCTTGAAGCGTGGAGAATGCAACAGGCCCAGCCTACCTGTGCTAAGAAACTCCACAAGAGAAAGTGGGGAAGAGAGCGAGACTCTGATACCATGTAAAGAACTTTGGGATACACCACCCAAAAGCTAGCTCAAAGGGTGAGATTATATATCTCAACAAGATCTAATAACCACAAACAAGCCTTGGTATATGGACAAAAATAACCAGTCTTTCAAATCGAATATATCACATAGTAATGTGGGACGTAGATAGTAAAGCCTAGAGACATAAAGAAAACCCATATAAAAAATGGATTGTAGAAGGTCCATTACATTGAGAACCCACATAACATGGTTCACTTATTTTACTTGATTTTTTCTTGGGGCTAAGAAAGTCGACTACACTACTGCTGTAGCAGAAGAAGCATAACCACGACAATAATCAAAACCATACCAAACACCATAAGGAATTAAAGTGTTGTAGTAAAATGTAACAGGCTTGGAGTTATAACCATGTACGGTCACTTTATCTGGTATCCAACCATCGTACCCTGTCCTGTATAGGTATAGGTAGCAGATTTGGTATGTACATGGTCCGTATATCTCAAACGTATCCGTAGAGCACCGCTCGAATGTTCCTGAAGAAGGGTCATCAAGTCTTGGAACATAAACCTAATTATCCAACCACCAAAATCACAAACCATATCAGTTATCCACCATATATTATTGGGAAGAAGTTATTTTACGACTCTTAGAGCCGTTTGTTTGGAATTTTAGAAAAATTAATTTTTATCTGTTCTTTATTTTAAAAGTGCTTTTAATAAAAATTAAAACTATTTATATTTTAATAAAAAGATTTAATTTTAGAAAAAAATATTTGACTTTTGACTTCTTTTTTTGTAGAAGCTACAATTTTTAACTTCTAAAAAAAAAAAAAAGCAGGTTTTTAACTGTTTTTCGTGACTTATGTTTTTTTTTAAAGCAATCATCCAAACAAACTTAGTGCCTGTTTGGATTCTCTTTATTTTTAAACTAGAATCTACTTATAAGCATAAGTTAGGCCAAACAGATTTTGAGAAAAGCTCTTATAATGAAAAGTTTTTTTTTATAATGAAAAAAAAAACTGAAAACTAAAAGCTTTTAGGAGGAGTTTTTTTTTTTAAACTCTTATATGTTTTTTTTAAATTGTGTGTTTTTTTTAAAATGAAAAATTCTAAAGAGAGAGATAATTTTCTTGAAATATGTGTTTTAAGTAATTTTTAAGCTAAAACTTTTTTATGTGATTACCAAACAAAACTTTTTTTTAAGCTCTTTTTTTTAGCTTTAACTTATAAGTAACTTCTAGGTTCTAGTTTAAAAAAGAGAGGATTCAAACAGGGTCTTAAAGTGATAAGTGCTTTTTTCTCTTAAAAAAACAACTTTTGAAAGAGAAAAAAAAGCTAATCTAAATAGGCCCTTACTAAATTAATTACAATTAATTTTTATTAATTTAACAATTATAATTTATTTAGTCACACTCATTAATTTTTAATAAATTATAACAGTTAGATTAACAGAAATCAACTATAATTAATTTAGTATAAAGTAGTAATAAGTATAATCGGCGCATATTATTTTTCATTAGGTTAATTTGATTTGTGCATAAAAATTTTAAGAGCAAGAGATAGATCTATCTATGACTATGGATGAATCTTGACAGAACAGAAGGAACCTGATAGCCATAAGCGTCTCCAAATGAAATACTGATACGATCTGTTGTATATGAGGGAGAACTGCAGCTAGTCTTTATGGTGAGCGTGTAAGTGCAGGAGCTACCCTCTTTCTGCAAGATGCATATACCATATCATACTTTAATTTCATATGCAAAAAGATCTGAAAATGATTCAGTTGAGAATATATGAGTACCCTTTAATCTATCTATGTTCTTTAAAAGGTTCACTAACGGAAAGCTAAATTTTTTTAATGTTTTGACTTAGAGGGTGTTCCTCATTTGGATTATTTCAAAAAGTAAAGAGAAGAGGGTTTATGAAAATTTGTTACCTGCTGCTGCAACTGGGTTTGGTTCGGTTTGAAAGATTCGTTGGCTTGAGGCTTAGTGGCTATTGGTGTTGCTTGTGAGAAGGAAGCTATGATGAAAAATGTGAGGATTAAAGTCGGAAATTTCATTCTTTTGCCGGAGAGTTGCAAACCCTGTTTTGTACTTTGAGAAAGAAGGAGGAACATCTCACTTTCACGGGTTTTATTTATTATATAGCAAAGAGCCAAGGACAAGGTTAGGTTGGTCTTTAACTACTTATACTTTCTCTGTCTCTAGCTACTTCCTTGTGCCTATGCTCATAAATTTCTAGGTTGGTCTTTTTTTTTTTTTTAGTAAAAATCTAGGGTGGTCTTTAACTGCTTATGCTTACTCTGTCTCTAGCTACTTCCTTGTGCCTATGCTCATAAATTGCGAAATTTCTAATTATTATTGACGAGATCAAATACAGAATGGGCTGGCCAATGTGTACTGGACCTAATCATATACTGTTGATGGAGAAGGCCTTTAAGATGATCAACTTTCTGGGCTTGAGGTTGTAGTTGATTATGTGTATTTTTACTGAATTAGATTGTCATACTTGAACATGTACCCTGTGTTTATATAGTAATTCTGATGCCGCCTTGGGAAGACAGTTTGGCTTTTGATTGGCAGTTCAAGGGCTGCATTTTCAACTAGTGTATCTATAGCTTTATCTCTTAATGTCAGGTGGTTACCTTGATAGAGTAGTAGCAAACTGGTGTTGTCCTCTGTTTATTTGCTCAATGACACGGTGAAGCTTTATTAGTTCCAGTGTTGGCTTTCTTATCTCTGAAGTTATGTTAATAGGCGGTTTGGTACGCGATGGTGTCATCGCGCCATGCTTATGCGTGATGCGAGTCATCGCGCCTTATACTGGGCTTTAAGGGTTTTGAGTCTTGTCCATATGTACGTGGACCTTTAATGAGCTTATCATATTTTATCCAGATCAATTACCATATTTTATGAAGAAAAAAAAATTATACTTATATATTTCTTAAAATACATACTTTATAGTTTTATTTTGAACGAGAGTCATACTCAATATTCACTATGAATTGGGCTCGCAATAGAACTAGTAACGTTGCTGAGTAGGAAATCTAAAATAAAGTTGATTGAATAATCATAGAACAAATCATATGAAATTTGAATCTTTAACTAGAAAGGAGAAGATGATAATTTTTTGAAGGGAAATCGTTTTTTTATGTAATAAGATATTGGTTTTTTTCTATTGTGAGACATCAATTTTTTTATTTTTTTTAAAACAAGTGATGGACCAATCACTTGTTATATTCATGGCATAAACGCCTCTCGACATTTATATTTATAGAATATGAACAATTATAGTTTTAATGTGCAGATCTCTAAGTTGAAAAGACATATCTTTTCCAATTTCTTATTCATAAAGTATAATTATTCACACTTAATTCTAACATAATTTAGATGAGTTATACATGGAATATGCAAAGTAATCATTAAGATGATTTTTTTTTTGTCACAAAATCTTATTAATATATTTTATACTGTTACTTATACAGTTATTAAAATTTTATTACAAGAAAACTGCATAAACAATTTACTTTAATAAAACATTGTTATCATGTATAATTAAGGTGGATTCTGACATACAACTAATAGTACTGTGTTCAATATTAGATAGTTTTAATATTTTTTCACAAAAAAGATAATTTTAATATTTATTTCTTATTTTGGTTGAGTAACAATTTATATTTAAGTTCTTTCTGTTCCCTGCCTGGGTATTGGCATGAAACTAATCGTGTTCAATATATTGAGCCTATTCTTTCCAATCTTATTTTATGTATATTTATATGAGAAAAATATGTGTCATTTTAAAGGATTTAAAATTGTGTCATTTTAAGTAAGAAAAAGAGATATATCGTGAGGAAGAGAGAGTGGATAAAAAAAAAAAATATTAGTTTCACCTCTTTATAAAAGTGAAATGACACAAGTTGTGTTATTTAAAAAAAGAAAGATTTTTCGCTATTTATATAGTATTGAGCCTATTTCTCAAGGTTGTACTAGGGTCTTGTGGAATGATCTTAGGGGTGTTACTTGGCCCGTTTGACTAGATCTGTGCTTTGTCTTTATTTCCTTTTTTCTCAAAAAAAAAAAAAAAAAATTGACATAGTAAGTTTTTTAATTAATTAACTCGAATTTTTTTTTATTTGATTTGCTTAATTATATGCTTTTCTACTTTAATATTTTAAAATGATCATGTTTTATAAAAAAATGAGTATAATTTATTTGATAATTGCTTAAAAACTAATTCCAAAATGCTTATATTGAAATGAAACGTGTATTGATTTGATTAACCTCTTCATTTATTTATGTGTTGATCATACTAAGTGATAACATTAAAATTGAGTTCAAATAAAATATATTCTTATATATAAGCCTGAAACCAAAATGTGAGCCACGTGTTTAGAAAGTTATTTTTGTGTGGTTGAGGAAAGTATTCTTTTATTTGGCCTCGCCAAACGCGTGTATTAATTTACAGCCTAGTACTCCTCGCTCGCAATCCACGTCGTTGCAGTCTTACTGGTCAATGTAAAATAGTTTAACCCTTTGATATATACAACTTTAAATTTCTCTCTTTCAATACTTAAATATTGAAAGTAACTTGCAACCATTTTTATTTTGTATTCTTTTGAATGTAATCAAAAGATCCCTTTTGGTTTATCAAGAAAAATATGTATAAAAGCAGTTTAAACAGACAGATTCGATTACGAAATGGATTAAGCAGAACATTTGAAAACGAGGATGTCAAAAATATCATAAGCACAATTGGAATGCCATGATGTCTTCAACGAAAGAGTCAGGAAATTTTGTGAAAAAATTCGAGAAAAGGGCAAACTAAAGAAACCAGCAAACAACATTTTAGATAGGGAATAATATTTGTCCTTTTAAATGACATAACTTGTGTCATTTTACTCTCATAAAGAGATGAGTCTCAAACCTTTATTTTTTTTGTCCACTCTCTATTTCCCTTTATCTATCTCTTCTCTCACTTAAAATAACATAATTTACTTTACATCCTTTAAAATGACACATATTTTTCCCTTTTAAATAAGGAGATTATTTCTCTTATGTAATAAGAGAGAAGTTCTATCACGTTGAGAAACAAATAAAGTAGAGCACAACAATTTTTTTAAAAGAAAAAAGAAAAAAAGAGCCTATTTTCGATGTGAGTTTAACACGAGAGATCAATCTTATACAATACGAAAATATTATTTCCCTTTAAATAAATGTTAAATATCTCAAATTTCAAGGAACAACAATCAGCTGGTACAAAGAAAACAGTAAATAGCATCTTAAATTGTTAAAGGGTTTAATCTTTCTCGGAGATAAATTTATTTCCTATATATATAGAGAGTAAGGATATACTAATTACAAAAAATTCTTACTATTAACTTACTATCCATCACATCATCATTGGATCAAAGAGAGAGAATATTAAAAAGTTTTTGAAGAGAGAGAAAATATTAATCTAATGATGATTAGATAGGTAGTAAGTTAGTAGTGAAAAATTTTGGTAGTGAGAATATCTCTCCTCATATATATATGGGGTTATCACTTCTCATGCAACAGCAAAATTTCTCCTCTCCAGTTACTGAAACAAAATTATGTGGGTCCCGTTTCATTACAAGGAAAAAAAAATACAAAAAAGCATTGCACGTTTCTCGATGAGTCAGCTGTGAAAAAACTTCTAGTACTGTGACAGGAGAACTATATTTCCGTATATATATATATATATGAAAATGTGTAAAACCTTTTTTTTTTGTCTATATTCTCTTCACTTGACCCTATATGAATCCCACATACTTTTATATGTATATTAGAGATAATTTTATTTTCTATAACATGAGATTGTTAAGGGACCATCATTCACCCTAGCCCTGTGTCTCCAGTCTCCACCAATGGGAAAAGTGACCAAAATGCCACGCGAATAGTGTTATTTCCCAATATGCCACGTGGGCAAGTTCGCTGGACACTGTAGCGAACTCAGTTTGCTGATGTGTCACGTTTCTGGTGGATACCAAGTTTACTACATGAGGTAGCGAACTTGGTTGCAATACATAAAAATTATGCATTCCAATTAAGTTCGCTACCCCAAGTAGCGAACTTGGTACTTGGTGTCCACTAGAAACATGACATGTCAGCAAACCGAGTTCGTTACAGTACCCAGCGAACTTGTCCACATGGCATATTGGAAAATAACACTGTTCGCATGACATTTGAATAAAAAACTTGATGAACGACATTTTGATCATTGTTCCCCACCAATGTCCCGGATCCCAATTTTAAGAGATTCATAACCTGGGCAGTGAATCCTGGAAAAGCTTCAGTACATAACCATTTGATATTAACATGCTGAAAGAAGCACATACAAAACTTATGCACTTACAAACTATAGTTTATTATGTTTATCAATCATCATTAATGCATTTTCAGAAAAGCGTCTACTAGCAATAAGCACCCATCATCTGGGGATAATTATCATCTTAGGAACAAAAAACAAGACTCATCCAACAAAAAAGTACTTAAGAAGAGCAAACCAAGAAAGAATGAAAGAAAAAATTGCACTAGGTGGAATACAATCAATAACGGGGACTCTACAAAATAAAAATGTTTCAAATTGAGAAGGTTAAAAAAATTATTGGCCCAGCAAAATCCTCACCTACACCAGACTAAGGAAGAGAATCTCAGATATCCTGTAGAAACTTCAGTGCCTTGCCAATTCCCAGTTACAAGATACTCAATATACGACTCAGATTGTTGATTGTATAAAGACTGGCTCTGAACTTCTCATTCAGAACTCAGTTGGAGGCTTTAACCTTAACAGTCTTTTGATTCTATCTTTTTCAGTATTTTCCAAATATCCCTTCAAAAGATACAAAGGAAAAACGTCAAGCAAAGTGTCAAGAACAAATTTCTCCTTGCAACAATGGAACACAGAAGTACAGAAGTTGATAAAGATAAAGTTTGGATCAGTGGTGGGTGTAGTGAGCAGAGAACAAAAAGATTTAAGTTTTGCATCAAAATATAGGGAAAATCCGTCTCTTTTTTTAGTAGTATTGTGAAGTTTTTTCTTGCTCTAGTTCACATTAATTCTTATATGTTCATAAGAGGAGCATTACTTCACACGTGCATAGCAGGAGAAAATGTCCGATCTTATGGTCCTCGTTGAAAATGGAAGGCATCAAATAGCAACATTTACACTAACTAGAGACATATGATGACATATACCACGTGAATGCCATCAATTGATGTGTCTCAGAGGCAAGCAGATTAAGTAAACTGAGAAAAAATTTCAAAATTTTAGCTCTCATTTTTAGTAGACATTGTCCGACATGTTTCCTCACCTTCCATACAATTTCATCCAAACACAAGCAAATTCTTCCATACTTATCAAGGAAACGGCGCTCAGAAGGGGGCTTCCCACATACATCCTTCACAGCTGAGGTTATGACAATGATTACTTCTGACACTGGAGAAAAAGAAAGCATTGGTAAACAGTACTATAGATGTAAAGTGCTTGACAGCTCTTGAACTATACATTTTTCTAGCCCTTGGTGAAATAACAATAAGTTTGACATTGTTAAGGATGTGAATGCTGTCAAATGTCACTATGGACAAAATAACCTTTTTTTCTTAAGTTATATTTTTCTTTTTCTTGGTGAATCAGACAAAAGTGCCCACAAAGCTTACATTCCAAGATATATCCCTTACCAGTTTACTTAATTGCTAGTTTTTCTTACTACATCACTTATTAAAAAGTAATGTAATACTTCTGAAACCACATCAGTATCCAGCAATAGCTAATATCTCTACTATTAATAAAGAGAACATGGAGGAAATTTCACATCTTTACTTTGGTTCCAAAATTTCCAAAACAGTCCTTGATCTAAATGTTTGTTAACAAACTAATAAAGAAAAAAAGGTTACACAAGGAAATATAAAATTTAAATTATAATATATTAATATTTTCCAAATAATTAAACTACATTTCCTCTCTCCACATCCCCTTTTTTTTTTGGTTTCTCAAGGTATCCTTCAGCCGACAGCCAAAGATTAATCCTTTCGAGGCGGGAGATCACATTAAGTGATTAAGTGGGTAAACCTCTCCCAACAAAGCCTTTTCCATACGCACGGCCAGGAATCGAACCCCTGTCAGCATGCTTAAGGAACCCAGCTATCTACCAGCTGTGCTGGGCTTTTAAGGTGCATTTTGGAAAGAAATGTAGAGAATCAGCCACTTAAGGCACTTATGTTGAGTCACCAAGGCAGTTAGGGGGAGAATAGGGGTGGAAGGTCAATTCTGTTAGACGCAAGGAAGGGGAGTCACGCGTAGTACACAGCACTAGCATGCAAGGAAATTATTAGTATAAATAGAAGAAGGAAAAGAATGGGAACAAGGCTGGGATTTTGGATTATTTTGGGACTTGGGAGAGATTTAGAGCAATCTCTGGTTTGCTCTGAAGTTATCTTCTTCTTTTTTCATTTCCATTGTAATTTTTGGTTCTTTATTGAATTCAATCTGCTGTATCGAGATTTCCCTTACCACTAGTACAAATTCTGTTTTGAATTTCTATAATTTTTCAGTGTTGATTTCTGGAGTTCTAACTCATTACATAGGAGGTCTATTAGGACTGGGAAAGGGAAGGGTAAGGATACAACCCATGACGTCAAGCATAACACTCACTGTAAATATCGCGGTCAGTTGCACGCAAACTATGAGCTCATTGGCTCAACACCCCTTATTTTACTTCACCATTATCTCCATTATTATTTCTCTTAACTGCCTCTATTACCTCGATTTTTGCAATCTTTTTTCTCAGAGATAGTCTTTTATTTCTAATGCACATACATCTGTATGTTCCCCACTTACTAGTAAGTACTATTCTACTGGTGTAATCAGTTGAAAATTTTCATGTCAAGACAAGAACTAGTCTCTCTAACCACATTATCCAAACATCACCTTCACCACCACAAAAGACCAAGAAGTTATGAACCAACAACCCTTAGCCAGTACTTCAATCTCAAAACAAGTGAGCATATCCACTTTCAAGCATCTACAGCTGAGATGACTCATTTCTTTGGTTTTATTTTATCATTAGCAAATATGAAATATTGGTGTAATTCCATACTAAAGCATCAACAGTCTGAGATGATTCATTTCTTTACTTTCATTTTACCATCATCAAATATAAATTATTGGTTCAATGAATACGTACAAGCAAGTTCATCATACTCGTCCTTCCCGACAACATATATGCTGACATCCCCAAGCACTGTGTATACAATGTAAACGGACCTGATAGAGACAAAATGTATAAGTAAAATACTCTATCATTATGTACCCCAAAAAAAAAACTGTATCATCACATACGAATGAGACAAATAATTTGCTCAAACGAAGGAATGTGAATGAACAATAGTTGGTGTGAAGAAAAAGAGAAAATTATAGAGAAACTCGCATCAACTCAAACTCCTGATTTTGATGGCTCTAGTAATCTAAACTGTTAAAATTCATGGAACAAGTTTGCATGTTGGTGGTTTAGAATAGATTCCACTTCTATAATTCATTTCCATTTTTGTCCATTAATGATTGCACTATCTGAAATATTCTAGTAACTAATGTTATTCAGTTTGTTCTCATCTTCTTCCACTAAAAAAAAAAATACAAAAGGCAAACTGCAGAGAGTCCATCATAATTTTTATTGATAATGATTCAGATAATTTTCCTAGTCTGCTACATTCCAAGTAACCAAAGTTCAATTCCCCCTCACTGGTTCAGAATCAGATACTGCTATAGGACACTCTTAGATAAAGCAATTTATCTAGGTAAGGTGTATATACAAACATCACATATACATGAGAGAATGGTATACTCACTTGTGGCAAGCAACTAGGAGCTCTTCATTTTTTACACCCTTAAGATTGTCAGCTCCTAGTTTAACCAAGAAAGAACGCCAGTGTAGGCGTTCCTCTGCAGGAACTCCATGAAACCTGCAATTCATAAAGCCACTGACTTTATCTCAATACACAATTTGATAATGATAAAGTTAGAAATTCAAGTTGAAAACAAAAAGACCACACAAAAAAATGTTCGGCAATCATAACCAAGAATGAGAGCCTTGGCACAATGGTTAGTGTTCTCTCCATGTGACCCTACCATGAACCTGGTGCAGAGTAGGCGCCTTATACCATCAGATTGCACTTTTTTTTTTCCTGCTCTCAATCTGAAGAGCAATTGGAAGCTTTAATAAAATGCTTTTGTCAGTGTCTGAAAGTTTCTTGAACTAGACAATTAGTTTTGAGTAACATTTCAATTCAATCATGTAATAGAAAGTGAGGCATCTGTTATGTGGTTTTCTAATTTCCCAAGTAGTTTAGTTATCATTTTTGGGTATGAAATTAACTAACCCCTCTTCATGCTAGCAAGATAGCATCAAAAGAGATTATCAAAATGAATAAATATGTGGGTTTTTTTTTAATATTCCAATCATTTTATCATTTCGTGTCTATTCAGGTTGACTCTCGAGATTAAGGCTTTAAACCACTCACAAAGATTGTAATCGTCTCATGAAATTAGTTAATGGGAAATCTTTTTCTTATGTTGTTGTAGATAAGTTATCTTACGTTAATAAAATAAAATTATAAGAGGGAACCACAAATGATTGAAGAGAACAAAAAAAATAAAGGTGCGATCTGCTTTTATTACATGTGTAGGAAGATGAGTTATCTCATTTTAAACGAAATAAATATAACCTTTATTAGTTAAGGGTTTTATAAGAGTTATGTTGTAGAAAAAAATGATTGTGTAATGTTATAGAGATTCGTTTTGCGTGTCGTAGTTTTTTTTTTCTCTCTTCAAAACATGCGGGTCCCACAAAATGTTGTGTGTGTAGGAAATTTTATGTGGTCATATTATCATAAAAGCAAATCCATTAGTTAATTGCTACTACATTAAAGCGGTTCAAACTTGAAACGTGCAATTATAAAAGGTTGTATTCTCAAATTGTCTCAGGAAAAAAACAGAATTTCAAACAGGCAACAGCAACATTATCAGAAAAAACAAATCAATATTAGCAGATAACAATGAAAGGATATTATTAATAAAAGAATAAGAAAAATGGGAAATTGGTAGGTACAATACAAAATCGAGAGAAAATTGGAAATAAGAAGAAAGGGATCTGAACGCACCGTTCGATGAGGATATTACCCTCAACGTTGGCAAACAGGACCGCAAGTATCATAGTCTCAGCCTCGCCTCCTCCTTCTGTGAAATCAAACTGATTCTCTTTAAGTTTTATTTTTAACTTCTTTTTTCATGAAACATGTTTTTACAAAAGTTATAATTATGATCTACAAAAAAAAAAAAAACTATTGTCGTAAAGTACAGGAAACTTATAGTTACAATTTTTTTTTTTATAATTTCTTACAATCATATATTAACATTGTTGATTTTCGTCAATCAATCGTTATTATTTTCGCAAATTAAACTTATTAATTAATTATTAATTAACAATAAATGATAACCGTTGATTGTTAGAAATCAACGGTATTAAGATATGGTTGTAGGAGGATATAAAAAAAAAATCGTAAATATACAAAATTTGTGAAGTTGTAAGTTTTTTTTTCTAAAGATATATATTAGCTTTTATAATTTTTATAATTATTTTTAATTTCACTCTCATTTTAAATTTGTATTTATTAATTTGATTCTTTATCCGATTAATTTATTCTAACAATAGTTTTTTTTAAGGGAAAATATGCTCTTATGTTATAGGAGATAATTTTTTTCTCCTACACATATATCGATTTTCGTGTTATTTTTTTTATTTTTTTATTCTTTTTCTATAATGGATGGGTCCCTCATATGACTATTTCTATTGCATGAGAGAGTTCTCTTCTATTGCATGATTAACAAAGCCTTTTTTTTAACTATCATAATGACTATGTATAAGATTAATGTTTGTTCTTTTAAATGACATAAAATTATCTCTTTTTTTCATTTTAAATAAAAGAAAAAGATATACAATAAAAATTATGAGGAGAGAAAGTGAGAGATTTTTTTTAATTAAAATTTTAAATAAAAATATTAATTTTAATTACAATGAACATTCTTTAGAAGATAAATATTTTTTCTCTTTATATAATTATGTTTTTAATTTTATTGTTTAACTTTAGTATAAAAGTAGTTTTTTACTTTAACAAATTGTGTTAAATATGGTCTTAGATATTCTCATGCCTTTCCTTTTATCAAACATTTTTTATTCCTTAATTTATTTTTAAATTTCACTCTAATTATTATTTTTATTTTACTCCAACTCATTCTTATTATCGTTTAAAAAATTACAAATAATTATTTGAGTTTCCATCCGTTAATAGATATTTGTTACGTGATAAATGTGTATTTATTTTTGTTGGAAAAATAATATTTTTGCCATTCCCATTCCATCACTTAAAATATTGCTTTTATTTTCCCTTTTATCCATTAAAAGATTTTGATGGTTCAAAAATTTGAAGTTATTGACTTCAGATTCCCCTGAACCATATCATTAACACTCGTTTAACATGATAGGAAATGTTCCTTTAATAACAAGCAACCAGTATAGCACAGAGCACGTCATTTTGAGTTTTCTATTAGGGTTTATCATCTATCATTTAACATGACCACAAAAATTTTTCTACACACAACATTTTGTGGGGCCCGCAGCAAAAAAAAAAAAAAAAACTCTGGCACGCAAAACGAATCTCTATAACATAACACAATCACTTTTCCTACAACATAACTCTTATAAAACCTTTTCTATTATTACTTAAAAATGATAAAATCTTTTTGAGATAGAGAGTGATAAAAGAAAATAGCCCTACCCAAGTGTGGTGACTCAGTTGGTAGCATGGGAACTGAGTGGTGGGAGAGGACTTCGGTTCGAATCCCACCAACACCATCTGAGGAGGAGCATAAGTACCGTAATCCTTGGACTCGCACCCGAACTCTGAATTAGTCCCATAGACGGCTCAAAGAGTCTAACCCATAGAGATATCGGGAATTCTAATTCGCCTCAAAGAGGTAATTAGGATCAGTTGCCAAAAAAGAAAAAAGAAAATAGCCCTTAATTTATCCATGAATGATTTAAATCCTTAATTTAAATCCTCTCATTAAATAGCAAATGGGAAGAGCTAATTCCTGTTATCGGAAAATATGTGCATGTGATGTGGATATTTTGTTTTATAATCAACATGTAAGGACCCGAAACAATTAAGTCTAATACCTGGGTGGCGATTTTCGGCTTCTTAACATAGAGTTTTGTCACATTTTTCGAATAAGAAATTATGTAAAAAATTAATAAATTTAAGGTTTAAGCCCTATTATCTAGTCTATGATATACCAAATTTTATGTTAAGCAAACTTTGCTCGTAAATTTTGGCTTATTCAAAATGGGCCTTTTGATCTTGGTAATGCAATATTTATAATATTTGACCGAAATAATTTCTTGATCAAACGTTTTATTTAAATAATGTATAACGACGCATTAGGGTGGAGAACGTATTAAGACATGACACAATGAGTATCGCGTCCTGTGCAATGCTTTTGGCACGTCAATTATTGGATTGAGATGCGTTACTTTCACAGCCGCGTCTCATGCAAAATCATATACAAAGGACGTAGCTAACAATGAATGGCGTTCCAAAAGCAAACATCACATCAGAGCTGCAACTCATTATATATAATTTATAAATATTAATGTAAGCTTTGTTAAATATTTTAATATTTGAAAATAAACTTTTTACTCTGTTTTTTTTTTCAAAAAAAAAAAAGTTAAACCATCCCAGCTATATAATTAGGTAACTATGATAAAGGATAGAGAAAATGATCACAATGATTAAGAATGTATGAAAAAAAAAACGATATAATAAAATCAAAGAATTAATCCATCATCAAAAGTAATAATTTTTGGAAAATTTAATCTGAAATAAAACTAATCACACTTAATCATTTAATCCTAATTGATTCATGAATCAACTTACGATTAAGATAGGATTCAATTATTTACGGGTTTTATAAAAGTTATGTTGTAGGAAAAGTGATTGTGTAATGTTATAGAGATTCATTTTGCGTGTCTTAATTTTTTATTTATTTTTTTGTTTTAAAAAATGTGGACCCCACAAAATGTTGTGAGAGTAGGAAAGTTTGTTGTTTTATGTTAAAGGATAAAATGAAAACCCATTATTTATATGATTGAGTTATTAATCGCACGTGCTCACACATGATACTCCAAAAAGAACCTCGAATAGAAGAAACTGAACAACTTGAAGAATTGGCAAGAAGCTCTGTGCATTTGATCAGGTACATTACACCTCACTTCACTTTCTTTATTTTATTATTGGGAAAAGTGTCTATCATTTAAAATTACACAACTTACATCTTTTCACTCTCACAAAGAGGTGAGACCCACACCTTTATTTTTTTGTCAACTCTCTCCCCTTCTTAATCTATCTCTTTCTCTCTCTGAAAATGACACAATTTTACATCATTTAAAATTATACACATTTTTCCCTTTATTATTATTTCAATCTGATGTTGCTTAATTATAAAATCAGTATCGTTGTGATGCGCGCTTACAAAATTATACCTAATTTTGGTTCCGTTTGATTGTTGTTTTTAAAAACAGTTTTTTAGTTTTTAGAATTAAAAAATTAAAAAACTCGTTTGGTAAGGTCTATTTTGTCAAAAATGGTTTTGAAAACTATAACTATTTTTTTGTTTTTAGAATCAAATTTAGAGAACATGTCTGAGTTGTTTTTGTTTTCTGTTTTGGTTTTTAACTTTCAAAAATAAAAAAAATTAAAAAACAACTGTTTCCATAACTATTTTACAAAACAGTTTTAAGAATAAAATAACCAGAACACAATCAAACAGACAGATGAGTGGTTTTAAATCATGTCTATTTGTCGATATAAAAAAAAGTTATATCCATTTAAAAAAAAAATCTCTTAATGAGTTGCACTTCTGATGTGATGTTTGCTTTTATCCATCATCTGTGTGCTTTTGTTATATCTCAACTTTGATAAGATGTTTGCTTTTGGAACGCGGTTGCCGGTTGGTTGTTAGTGGCATCCTTTATATATGATTTTGCAGGGGACGCGGTTGTAAGAGTAACGCGTCCCAGTTTAATGATTGATTTGCTAAAAAGATTGCACAGGACGCGATACTTATTATGTTTTGTTTTAATACGTCTCTCATTCTAACACGTCGTTATGTATTATTTAAATAAAATATTTGATCAAAAAATTATTTCGCTCAAACATTATAAATATTGCAATTGCAAGGTCAAGAGGCCTTCAAAATGACATTGACGGGCCAAAACCCAATATCCCAACTCCCCTTAGTAAAAAAAAAAAATCCTTGCGTTTACTTTACACTTGAAGTAGCATGTGATTGTGATGCGACATGTGTTTCTGTACTTTAAAACCTAGCCAACAGCTACCTAGCAATTACAAGCACTTGAGATGCTATGATATATTGATATGTATTGCATAGCTAGCCTTATCAGTTTCATGAGAAATTAAAAATCATTATGGAATGATAAGCAATAACGAGCTTTCAAAAGGAAGCACAACATAAGGGGAACATTGATCATTGTGCCACTCCTTTAATGAAAATTTATCTTATTGCCATGTCTGGAAATTTTTTTGCCAAAATGCCATGTCACAATCCCGCTGGTCTGACAAGCGGGATTGGACTGGACACGTGTCAGCATCTGAATGGTTAACCATTCTTGTTGGGCTGCCCAGCTAGAATGACAGAATGCTGACACGTGGCAAAAGTTCAGACATCCAGAGAATGCCTGTACTTTTGCCACGTGTCAGCATTCTGTCATTCTAGCTGGGCAGCCCAGCGAGAATGGTTAACCATTCAGACGCTGACACGTGTCCAGTCTAATCCCGCTTGTCAGACCAGCGAGATTGTGACGTGGCATTTTGGCAAAAAAAATTTCAGGCTTGGCATTCAGGTAAAATTTTGTCCAAAAAGTGACAATATGGTCATTGTCCCCAACATAAGGCATTAAGGCCAATAAAGATGGGTACAGTTGACTAAGGGTTTGGTTCATACCTCTCAAGGGTGTGGGTTCAAATTCTACTGGCCGATGTGAGGACTTTGTTGATGGGTGATACGTAATTCCTTCCAGAAATTCTTAAAGAGGTTGGGGTCTTCCCTGATCTTAATAGGATACCGGTGTCTAATTCTGCTTAAACTTTTTTATACACAATAAAAAAAAAAAAGATAAGGCATTCTAAGGCTTATCTAGGCATAATCATTTAACACCGCTAGCATGTTGAAGCTGTGTAACTGGGAAAGATAAAGATGACCTCACTTGACTAGTATACTTGCATCTTCCGAGCAATGATATAAAATCTGACTCGGTTGTTGATCTCGTTAAGATATTAGCTCAATCAGTGACTCATTATTTTAAATTTATGATCCGATCATTATATGTAAATCTATAATTTATATTAAAAAACTATAAATATACTCAAATATCTGTAAAAAAATGATACCAATTTTAAATATTGTAATATGAAAAATAATAAATTATATATCATTGTCCAACAAAAGATAAAACATATAATACTTGTGATACTGGTATTTCAGGTTTAGTAAACGACATCTCTAACTTTAAATCAAATCAAAACTCTCTGCATATTGCATAACTAAGATAATATTAGTGTTGTAGGTACATAATCTATGTAAGTTAATAAGCTACAGATCACTCAAATATTTCAAAAGAAAACAAATCATTTGTCTGAGAGTGAAAAAAAGAAAGGCATCAATTGACGATAACAAACCAATTTTTTTTTTTATGAACCAGGTCGGGTCATCCGTTTTTACAAAAACCAGTCATGTCGCACCGGGTCACAACAGTCTATAACATGTCCGGTCTAATATGAAAATCGGACTAATTACATAACCGAGTCACCGATTTTTTAGTCGACTCGACCGGATGGATTCGATTTTTATAACATTACTTCCGAGAACTCCAACCTTGCTTTCACTTAGGGTTGGCAAAACGGACCAACCAGGCTCGACCCGGCTCGACCCTCATGCAACCCGGAAAAAAAATCGGGTTAGGGTTGGCTTGAAAAAATAGCTCGCGGGTTGGCTCATTTTCAGCCTATTTAAATGAACATGTAATATTAATGCACCAGCTATGTGGCTTCCATCAGCTTAAACAAAAGGTTACAAAATGAGAAATAAAAGCAAAATATTCTAGTTTCAAATTTTCTTCACTACAAATTTGCACTAACATCAATAAACAATAAGAACCACTTGCTACTAAGTGGGTAAGATATTTGAACCAAACAGAGTCAGCACAGCCTAACAATATAAAAATGGCAGGGACGTGAGAAGATTAGGGACTTAGGTTTAGAGAGGGAAGAAAAACGTTGACAACATGTATGGGTTTTGTCTATTTTTGTATATTATATTGGGCTCGCTTTTTTCTGCAGTTACTGCAGATAAGTTATCTGCAGTAAGCCTAGTACGACGTCCTTTTGAGGCGGAAATCATGATATTTTTGTAATTTTAATTTATTTCAGAGTTATTATAGTCTTTATAATTATAATTATTTAATTTTTCAATTCCAAAACGACATCGTTTTGAGAGTAAATGCAAATAATTATCTGCAGTAACTGCAGAAATATTATTCTGTATTATATTTTATATTTTTTTATAAATAAAAAAATATCAACCCGCGAGCTGGCCCGTTCGACTCACGTATTGGCTCAGGTTGACATCTCATTTTTACCAACCCAACTCATTTTTGACAAATTACAGAGGTCGGCTCATTTTTATCAACCCTACTTTCACTCCCTCCCGTTAGCTTCAAATAAATTGCTCCAACCTTGCTTTCACTCCCTCCCATTAGCTTCAAATAAATTGCTAGCTACCATATGGAGAACAGCTCATACAATGGATGTGACAAACCAACTAGGAGTTGCATCAGCTGTCTAAAGTCCCCACTTGAAGTCAATTTTAATCTTCCATGTCCTTGTTAGAGACAAAAATGCCCTGGCCTAAAGAACCTATAATTCTCTACCACATGGGGTTTGATACTCCCAAATTCATATATTTCAATTCAGGAATGGAATACTTCAGTATTACACCCTTTAAAGAATAAAGATGAATTGATTTTCCATTTTCCTTTTCCAAGCTTCAACGTCATACCATAAATCCAATGTGTGAGTGACTTCAATTAATATGAAAAATGCGGGAACCATATTGCCTTGTATAAATCAGGATCAAATGCCTACACCAACCACACCACGTTACAGATCTGAGGTATTAAATTGTTCATTTTGCTTATATGCATCATTCTTAATTTTTTTAGCAATGTTTTAAAGATTTTTAACGTAGAACTGAAGATCATTACCATTTCAAACTGTTCATGTTTCTGTCAATGCCTTTGCCGTCTACAGAACAAGATGGCTGTCATCTTTGTAAAATTTGCGTGTCGGGTCCGACACGGACACGTTCCGGCACGCTCGGACACGCGTTCTACATGCGGTCAACATTTGGGGACACGCGGTCAACTCTTCGACACGTTCCGACAGAACACGTGGTCAATATTTAGGGACACCTAGTCAATATTTGGGGACACGCTCGGACACGTTTTTTTTATTTTTTTTTATTTTGTTAACTAAATATAAAAGAAATAATTTATAAATTAATTTTTTTCTGTTATAAAATTTGACATTAAAAATTAACAAAGTACGAAAAATTATTTATATTTATATTTAAGTTATGAAATTTAAATATTTGATTGGTTATATGACTTATTATGGATTCTTATATGTATTAAATATAAATCATATTATATATATTAAAATTTTTATTTAATATCTAAACGTGTCCCAACGTGTCCAAATATAACATTTTTTAGAATTAACGTATCGGCGTGTCGTGTCGTGTCATATCCCGTGTCCGTGTCCATGCATCATAGGCTGTCATACCCAACGAAATTAGCATAAGTTTTGTTATTGATAATTTAATCAACAAGGATAGAATTTTTCTACTTCAATTACCAATGTTTCTTTACTTTATGCCATATCATTTACATGCCTCTACTATTTGTTAGATGCATTGATAAGTTTCTAATTCAATAAAGGGATCTATTTATCTCATGTTGCATGAGATAATTATCTCATGTAACAGAGATAAGATAGTAGGATTCATTATTTTTTAAAGAAAAAATAAAATAATAACCTCCACTATTTTGTTTCTGTTACATGAGATAATGATCTTATGCAACGAGATAATTATTTCCCCTCAAAAAATCAGGATAAGGTATAGTAAGATTTGCAAGTTTCGTAGTTTTGATTCATCCACAGATGTCTCAAATCTTATACAGAAATAACCCAAACAATGGAAAAGCTAACATAATTTGTAGTTGAAGATGTAATTAATTTAAGAGTTCCACATAAAAGTAGTATTTGTACAAACAGATCAAATGAGTACTTTTCTATAAAAAAAACTGATCCAACTCCCCAACAGAATTAAGTAGAGAAGTATTACCAAAAAAAATAAAAAATAAGTAGAGAAGTCGAAGAAGAAAAAGTCCATATCTTTATAGAAACCTAGAGATAATATCTAATACGTTGACATCTATGATGAAGTCATAAACATTCTTGTCGTCTTAGCATTTTTACAATGTATGGAAAGAGTTGTTAGTAAAATGATCACGCCCCCGTTAGATATCACACACAATAAAGCTCTTTTGCATTCCTGCAGTGAGATTTCATTTTTTCTTTTCAGAATGTTAAAAATGTAATGTGTTCTGGCTAGCGCACTCTACAATCCCACCAGTTAGGTCCACTCTTAAAACTTACATCTAAAATCTTTTAAAAGACACCCATGACAAGTCATAGAGACTCATTATTGAGATATTATCTTTCCCCTGCATTGCTGTCTTTATGCACCGACAGATGGCAGAATATCTTGTCTCCTTGACAAGACAAGGCTTAGTAAGACAGGGACGGACCCATTTTAGGGGCTCCCACTCTAGAGAGGGCCTCCTCCTCTCTAAATACCCTCATTCACCATGGAATAGGGGCGGCTTCTCTCCAACGAACTCACGTTGTTACTCTGCCACAATCGAGAGTTACCTAGTCACTCACACACTCCCTCCTTTTATGCACACCATGGGAAGTCTCTACAGTGCTTTGGTCTCTATCATTGTCATTATGAGCACCCTTATATTAACATACTTCACTCTCCATGGGACACATCTATGTACCACCATCGGTACATAATGTAAAACATGTAAAAGTAAAGTTGCATACAATTGACCCTTATCTATATCATAGCAAGTAGGGGACATTTAGAAATTTAGAAATCATCTTCTGGTATATCTTGATAATGTGAGCAAAAGCTGAACCAAGATGCTTCATGAGAATGAGACTTAACGAAACATCAAAATCCAGTTTATTTATAATTTTTCTCTTCATTGAAATCATGAGTAGAATTTGTTGAGATATATAATACACGCTTCAAGCCAAGAGGGCTCTTGCGTGAGGGAGCGTGTTAAGATATATAGTCCCACATTGGTTGAAGAGCAACTAATGTGGAGTTTATAAGGCCTTGGACACTCTCACCCTTTGAGCTAGTTTTTTGGGTGGTGTATCCCAAGATTCTTTACATAATTCATGCATGGATATGGAAGTGTGGAACTGTAGCTTAATTCCAAATTAGTTAACTAGATACTTCTTACAGGGAACATAAAATTTAACGAAAGGTATAGGCAGTTAAACATAAGTGGTAAACAAACATACGCACACCACATCCTCATAAAATAAATATAGCTCACTCCTACTTAGGACAAACAAACAAATAAAACGCAACGAAAAGGACTACATAGGACTCTGAAACTCCTTTAATGAGAGCCCCACGTGAAAATGAAAGCATTGAGTTTAATTCCTATTCAGAAGTTCTTCTATCATCTGCAAGGCAATCTTTTGCTCCTCATCCAACCGTTTGCTTTCTTCTGGTTTTACCTTCTCTGGCACTGATAATTTTGAATCAGAAGCTCCAAGATTCTTCCTTTCCAACTCAACCATCATAATCCAGTTTGATTCAGAACGAGGCCCTGCTCGCTTCTGCCACACCCCAAAATGGGAATTCTCTGTGTCAAGCCTTAAGCAAGTGAGGGAAGGTGAAGGGGACTTGCAGCACTTCCTGAGCTTTGCACTGAGAATTGAAGAAAATGTTGTGGAAGAGGAAGAGGATGAGGATGAAGTAGAACTTTGATTTCCCATTTGATTATCTGCAATTGGAAAGTTTGTTTTGGCGTTTCTACCATTCATCAAAATTGCTGCCTCATCATATGCTCTAGCTGCTTCTTCAGCAGTTTCAAATGTTCCAAGCCACACCCTCCTTTTCCTATTCAAACACCATAAAGGCATAAACCATAACTAAAATTTTCACATTCAATAATCTATATACATTTTTTTTCTTCTTATTATTATGTTGCCTTGTAATTCCATCAAAACAAACTAGTTACATTGACTTGACACAAAGCTATGGTATGCTTTGATTCAAAAAAGAACTCTCACGTTTAATATAAGATACAACAAATAACTCTTAAGCAATATATCAAAATCTAATAAGAGAAATGATCCGTTTACAAACTTTTTTTACAAATTACACCAAGTATGACTGGTCATGCATAATATATTTTATAAGAATTTGTAAACAAAAAGTTTCCCGTCTAAGAAATATGCATACACAAACAAGCAAATAAAAATCAGAGAGTAGTACTTTTCTAAAGTTTATGGAGAAGGAAAACAAGCAAATAAATAAAAGTCTGAGTTAGTTTGATGTAAATACAATAATGGGTGACGAATCTCAGAGACCCAAGAGCCCCAATGGCGTTGCCTGACACCTCTGAATTTCTTTGATTGCACCATGTCTGTCAGAACTACCTTCTCATACTAGGAAGGTTAGAGAGAGAGAGAGAAAGAGGAGGATGGATAGAGAGATGTATAGAACTTGTGACTTAAAATATGGAAGTCACATATGACATGATGATGCAGCAATTTAAAGCTATTTCCTAACTTGTGATTTTTTATAAGGTGTCCACAAAGTATGTGCAAACCAAAGTCACCAAGTCATATTTACCCTCTCTGTACCTCTGATGTTGATATCCCATGCAATGCCCTTAACAGCGATATTTCATATTAAGAGTAAAGCTAGTGTTACAATACATAGTTAAAACGCACAAACTGCCACCTGTGTAGAATGTTTGGTTAGAATACTTACGGGGCGTTTGGTACAGGAGAAATTTTTATTTGTCCGGAAATCTCGATTTTCAAAAATATGAATTTTACATCTAGTTTACGATAATATCTGAAAATTTAAAATTTTAAAAATTTCAATTTTCGGAGAATCCGAAAAAAAATCCGTGTACCAAACGGCCCCTTAAAACTAGCTGTTAGCTATTTCTTTTTTGGTTACAGGATTGAACTTACAATCTCAACTTAAATCTCATCCTCCTTTAACTTAGCTATGTGCATTGTCCATGGCAATTTTGATTATTTGTGATTACATAATATTATGAGACTAGTATTACTTTCCAAATTGTAAGAATGATGCTTGGTACCCTAAATAGTGCTATTACTAACCAAGTAATAAGTTCACCTTCAAAGCATATCATAATATAGGAAGGAAAGTTGAAGTCATAAATATAGAAGATCTTCAGATTTTAGCTGTAAAATCTGCGTAGAACTTTCTTGCTTGGTGGACTAATTAACAAAACCATGAAAATAAATAAATAAAATCCAAACTCAGATAATTGGTTGGCGGTTGTCCTTTTCTATTATGGTTTGAACATTATTTGGAAATGTAAGTCAATTACACCAAGGTGGCAGCCGTTAGCTCCCAACTTTGAAAGACGCTTTGTTCTATGCACTAGCTTGGCAATCAATAATTCTCATGGAAAATACACAAACGAAACTGTTCTGTGCGTTTAAACTTTAAATATATAACACTTATTATTCCCATATATTCAAAGAGTATATATTCTGGACAAGTTTTCTAAATTTATGTGGATAACACCTGTTCTGGATGGCTCATTAAGACAGACTCAATCCCCTTCCACTTATCCACGTCAGCCTTACTGACTAGAGCTTACCAACCATGCCTCTTTTTTGTCCCCACATGACAGATTCTCTAATGTAAAACACCAAAATGTCCTATGTTGGGATGCTTCCTTCCTTTGGTAGCTCTCCCAGACCCCCAAAATAGATGTTTCCCCTTCACAGGTACAGCAGCATCGACTGCCACCAACATAGCAGGAACCGTAAAAGGTGTTGCAGCAACAATACCAAGCGTCTTTGACACTTTCCAAGGAGAGTTGACCTGGCTCGCCCTCCCATGCGAGCAAGACATCCTCTCCCCCTATACATAACCCCTCCATCACCAAGCAAGAGATCTGATCTCTATGTGCCGTTACCCTGCCAATTTCATGAGCCTACAGTGCAACTCAACACCCCCTCCCCCTCCCACACTTATACTATATTTGGGATGTCATTATCTAGCTTAGTCTTTACTTTTACTGGCAAAGATACCCCTATAGTAACCTTTACCCCTTCCAAAGGTACATATTGGGCTTGCAGCTCTCAACGGTACAACACCCATTAACTTTGGCCCTTTTGTTGCCATAAAATGAAAAGTACAACCACAAGAGTTCTCTAGATATATGAAGCGTTTCTTATCAATTTAGTGCAAAATGTTTTACAAGTACGGAACTGGATAATGCTCTCCTTTGGGGTAAAAGCATTTGATCTCAACTTTTTATACCTAAAGCAGACAACTTTATCAAATCACCTTTAACTGCTTTGTTTAGTGCATAATGAAAAAAATTAATCATACAAGTAATTTCAAGATTGCATTATCACCCAAAACACTATGGAGTATGGACAAAAGGACACATAAATACATATCCAAACCAATTAATATGTAGCAAGGTAGTTCACGTAGATTATATTATAGGAAAAAATACCTAGTTCTGAAGTATCAAGATATAGTCCGATATCTTGTTCCATTGCAGTAATAATGTGATTCCACAGCACATTGTGTAAATAAAGATGGCGAGTACAACTTAGGTGCTTTTAATAAAAGCTTCAGTTAGTTGAGTTAGAAATTATGTAAGTGACTAAGTTTAGTGATGTAATGTGGAAAGTGCTATAGTACAAATATTTTACCTTATGGTAACATTATTTCTTTTGGTGCCTCTATCTCGGTCTGCATCAACCCCCTTTGTCATTATATTGATCATGCACAACTCAAAAGATGTAGTAGCTACAGGGTTTACCATCAATTGTCAGGGTAATTAGCTTGGTTGGACAATCTTCGCCTAACACTTTGTCTTGTCTAAATTTTGATATGTGATTCCAACAGCTATCCTCCCTTCCACTTTTTATCAATCTGAGGGGGAAAAAACCAAAAATCTAACAAATTACATAAGGCCATATCTTTGCCTCCTTTTTTTTTTTTTTTTCCTACAAGTGGTTTAAAGCTAAATAGGACCTGAAGAATCCCAAACTTATTGGCAATGGCATGGATCAAATGCCCAATTTCTTCCTAATCTTTGAGTCTTGATTTCTAATGGTATATAGGCTATGGCATCTATTAATGACTACCACTTAATTAGCCTTAATTTTAAGTCATCCATCCCAAGCAATCTTTCTCTGAACTCACATTTGCATATTCTTTTCGTCAACTTGGTTTGACCAAGTACAATAGGCTAGGCTTTGTCTTAAATAGACGAAGCCTGTGTAAAAATCATTGGATCTGGCCTGGCCTATTAGCCTATGTAGGCCCCAAATTATGAGTTTGACCTGACTTATATTTAAAAAATAAAAGTCTTGGCCTAGGCCTATTAGCCTGTTTAAGCCTATTAAAAATTCAACAATTAAAAGAATAAGTAAAATAATATTACTTTATTATTCAAAATGGGGTAGGTTATTGTAATTTGTAATAACTAATTAGGGTTACTACCAATCAATTTCACCGTTAGATCGATTATATTTATTTTCATCTTTGTATGGTTATGATTCTCCATATTTAATGTGAAAGCATTAAATATTCATAATAAATATGGAAAATCATAACCGTGGAAATAAATATAAAGTATTAAGTATGAGAAATTATAATCATACAAAGATGGAAATAAATATAACCGTTGAATCAACATAATCAATCTAACGATGAAATTAATTAGTAGTAACCCTAATTGATTGTTCAATATTCTAACCCATTCAAAATTATTAAAATTATTTATTTTATTTAAAATAAATAATATGATATAGGCTAGCCTGTAGTTTTATAGACCTGACATTCACAAAAAAGCCTATGGCCTGTTTTCTAAATAGGTTTTTTTTGAAAACCTATGCCTATTCTATTTTACTATTTGTACTAGGTCAAGTCCGATTTAATATAGGCTAGGCCGTAGGCCCCTGTATGTCGGCCTAACCCATTTACACACCTAAATGCAACCTTGAAGGCAACCATGGTCTTAGATCTGTCGTATCTGTCATTCCATTGGTTATTGGAGTCCAGTTTTATAAGGCTGGTCTTCAGTCTTGCCCTCAATTCCTCTTTAATTTTTAAAATAAAAAAACTTAGTCCCTCAATCCTAAATGGGTATGAAGCCCAAACACCTTAGGACTTCTAATCCATTTTGACAATTCATCCTAGATGTGTAAGGCTTATGTGACCTTTTTGAGTCTGGTTTATATTTTTTATGAAGCACAAAGGCCAAAGGCCCAAAGAAAACAACAATAACATGGCTTTGGATTGGCCAGGTTGCTGACAAGTATTGGGATCTTTATTGAAATGAGTCCCTTGACCATTACAATCCTGGTTTCCTATTTCCTAAGGGAGGAATTGTCATAGAGATGCTAGGAATTAAATGCTTCCCTGACTACATGCCACACATCCTTACTACTTCGTTTCATTTTGTATTTTGTTCACACGAATATATTACTTGTGGGTTTAAGAGTGAGCAATAATCATAATGGTCCTCCGAGGATGTTTTTATTTTTCTGAAGATGGCATCCCAGATTTTAGCAATCTGATTACGTGGTTGTTGTCTGCTTGTACATGACATTTTCTTGAATTAAAAAATATCTATATATATTGAGGTTCCTTAAAGGCATGAAGTTTAGTTTCATCTTTCGTGCCAACTTATATGGATTTAGTAGACCTAAAACCAACAGGGCACTTAAGGGATGTATTGGATTGAGCAAAGAATTTTAATGGATTGTTTTTGGACAAAAAAATCTGTTGGTATTCGATTAGGATTTTAAAGAATTATTTTAGAATCCGTCCAAATCCGTTGGTATTCAATCAGAATTTTAAACAATGGAATCACAATCTCGTGGTATTCAAAAATCCGATAATTTTAATGGATTTTCTATTGGTATGGATTTCGTGAGACTTTTTAGTGAAAAATATAAATAGGATGTCTCTCTCACAATCACACCCTAACCCCTAGGATTTCTTGAGATTCTTCTATTGCAGTGTTTTCTTCTTCCTTTGGCAGGTTGATCGCTCGAAATTGGGTTCCGCCACGGGAGCTTCCTCAAAACTAAAAAAAAAGGGCAGATTTTTTAGCGATTTTCATCACAAAACAACAAACCAATGAGATTTTAATATAATTTATCTCAAAAATAACATTTTTGAGCCATTTTTGAGAAATTTTGGAAGTTTAAAAAGTGATTTTTCAACCTATGGGTCGCGGTTTTTCTTGGCACAAAAATGTGTGATTTTTGTATTAAAAATAACATAAAACAGTGAAAAAATAACAGGGAAACTAAAACCCTCAAACCAATTTTTGTTTTACATCAATGAAACAATATCAATTTAAGGAAAGATTGAAACTTTCATAATATGAACCCTATATTTTGTAACAATACATTGATGAACGAA